GACAGAGGGGGTGAGGTCAGGGGGAACGACAGAGGGGGTGAGGTCAGGGGAAGGACAGAGGGAGACGGTCGGTCGGGGGAAGGACAGAGGGCAGGAAGGACTCCTACAGAGAAAGGGAGGGAAGACTGAGGTGAGGATGCATTTGTATTTCCACAATGACTGTCACCAACCACTGCTCCTCGGAGGATCATGGGGCAGAAAGGACGGGGCCAGTTACCTCTTTGACCACCCTGTAGTTGTAGCTGCTGGTGCTTTCATGCTTTTGCGACTTGTTATTCCCCTCCTAGGAACCAGAACAGACGCAACTGTGTTTGATACAAGGCCTGGGCTAGCGGCATGGTGCATTAGCCACACACGTCACAGGACAAGCCTGTCCGCCTCCACTCTGCTTTCTAACCCTCACGCTCGATATGTGCACCTTCACCTGCCTGCTCGCCCTCCACTCTCCCCTGACAGATGGATCTCCCAGATGTCCGAGAGGACAGGGCCAGACCAGGGCTTGAGGGGAGGCTGTCCCCAGGCAGGGCCCTCGGTAAGCCTGTGCTGAGCCACCTGGCACCAAGCCTGTCCCATGCGAAGCTGGCTGGCACAGGTGACAGGGCAAGCCCACCTTGGCCATGTGACAGGTCTCTCAGGAATACAGCCCAGCCCATCTCATCTGCAGTGTAGGAGCCACCGTGGCCCAGGGGGCTAAGTGCCGGGCTATTACCTGAGAGGCTAGCAGTTCAAATCCACCGGCCACTCCTCAGAAGGACAGGCCCACCCCTCCATGAAGACATGCAGCGTGGGAATCCCTGCTGTGGGCAGCCCTGTGCTGCCTGTGGGGGTCAGCGTGGACTCCAGGCAGAGGGCTGGTTCTCTGCTGGCAGGTGTGTCCCAGCACTGTCCCTGTACTGACCACCAGGAGCAGCCACCCATCCACAGGCCCCATCACTCACCTCGGCTTTCTTATGCTCGTTCTCACCCAACGCGCCGTCCATCACCTCGTCAGGACCCTGCCCTTTGTATACCCAGAGCTCGGACTTCTCCACAATGGACCGCAGCTGGTCCAGGTCCTGTTTGATCTGCTTGTAGTTGTCCACGTCTTGGCTGGTCACGAGCAGCTGAACCTAAGTGAACACAGCCCATCAGTGCTGTGTGACAGCTCCCTGGACAGAGGGCCCCTCGGGCCACCACGCTACCTGCTTGAAGGCCTGCAGCACCTCCTGCCTCTGGCTGAAGTGCCGGAAGAGCAGCTGGAGGGCCCCGGACACCAGCGGCGGGTAGTCATGCATCGTCAGATGCAGCAGGACGCGCAGGAAGGTGCGGCCGCCATGGTCGTCCAGGTCCAGCGGTGTGTTCTCCTCACTGGAAGAGGGTGAGGGGGAGGTCACTCCGGGAGTTCCTTTCTCGGCACCACGGGCTCGGACACACCTGTGACCGCTATGTTCTACCTCACGGGACGTGGCTTCAGTTGGTACCTCAAACAAGGGAGTGTGGTTCCATCTGTGACTACACTGCAGTGAGGCAGTGGTTAAGATATCACCACCATCTAATGTCCACCTTAAGTCCTCAGCCTCGCACAGTGACAGGCTCTGCCCACAGCCGACTTCCTCACACCCAACCTGCTGGCCCGTCCCTGCCCTGACGACTGTCCACAGCCAGCTTCTCCTGAATCATTAATTTCTTTTTGCCAACCAGTTGCCATCAAGCGGGCTTAGATGCATGTTGATCAATCGTGTGCCTCTCAAATGGCCGACTTTTTAAAAGGCAAATCACCAGGCCTTTGATCCAAGGCCCCTTAGGGTTACCAGCTGAAAATGAGCACAGGCGTTGCCCAGGGACACACACCTTTACGTCGGAAGATGCCTTCCAATGTTTATCCAACTCTATGTGGGGAAGACCAGTCTTTGCCATTTTCTCTCTGAAGAAACGGATCCTCTTGGACCTTTCAGTAACCCAAGCCTATTTGTCCTGCATTCAAGGTCAAGGCAGGGTCAATGTCAAGGCTGTGTCAGACTTTCACAGAAGTTATCAGGTGCTGACACTCCTGTTCAGTTCTTATCTCGTCACAAGCTGCTAGCTCACAGCTGAGGCCTGGGGAGCCCACCCTGAACTCATGGCTATAAACCACAGTAACTCCAGGTCTTCAGGATGGAAACTAAGGGGCTGACCAGGACGCACTCTGCCTCAGCACCTCCATACTCCACACTGGAGACACAGGGCCAGTCCTGGGCAGCACAGCTCACTCATAGCCACCATCCTCCTGCTGCCTAGTGGGGTGCCACAAGGCTGAGGTCTAAGGGGCAGGTGCAGCAGCAGCTGACCAGCTGGGCCAGCTCTGCCTTACGCATACAATTAAAAGGCGGCCCATCACTCCCAATCAGAAGGCGGATGACCCTGGCACAGTGCACTGCCCTCCAAGCCCATGTCAGCATTCACACGATGTGGACAGTGGCCTGTGGAGACCGCAGGGTCGCAGACGAGTAAGCCGAGCACTTCTCATGCACACTGTCCACCCAAGCTTCCAGAGGGCACACAGTGGCCACAAAGAGGAGGTCCCGCTTCCTGGGGATGAAGGGAGAGGGCAGCAGGCTCTGCCGCCACACCCCACATGGACACATCCTCACACTGAACTCAAAACACCCCCCGCAAGTTTGAGAAACCACCTTCTAGCAGGCTGTTGTTGTTCTGTGCCGTCAAGCTGACTCTGTGGATGACCCTGTGGACAACAGCTCTGAACCCTGCTCTACCCTGAGCCACTTCCATCAGCTCTGACACACCTACCCCACACCCAGGCACTGAGCCAATCCAACTCAGCCAGGGTTTTCCTCTCCTTTCCAGCATCATGTCCCTTTCCAACAGCTCTTTACACCATACCCAAAATATGTCAGATGGAGCTTCAAAATCCTTCCAATTTAACAGGTTTATGTAGGTTTAAAGCAAGTAAAGTGTGTCATGGTTGTATCTTTTCTCATATACATGCAAATTGTATACTGAGCAAATTGTTTGAGAAACTAGACTGTAAGAAGAAGAATGTGGCATCAAGATCATCATCGACTATGTGTGCAGATAGTCTTGCTTTATTATCTAGGAAGTGAAAAAGACTTGAAATGCTTGCTGCCAAAGATCAATGAATACAGCCTTCACTAAGGATCACATTATCAGCATCAATGAGACACAGTCCTCACTGGACCATGATGATGGAGAAGAGACAGAAGTTGTCAAATAATTCCACATCAATACCCATGGTAGTAGCAGTCAAGAAATCAGAAGACATATTTTACATTGGGAAAAGTCTGTTGTCAGGGACCAAAGCGCCAAAGATCAAGGAGGTCAGTTCAAAAACTAAAGTGCACCTGATGCGAGCCTCTGTTCTCTGAGTAACTCGCTGCCGTCTGAACTCTGGACAATGACTAAGGGTGACAGAACTGAGGCCTTGTGTTGTGGTGATGGAGAAGCACTCGGGATAGCCCGTGGACTGACAAAAGAACAATCTGTTTTGGAGGAAACGTAACCAGGTGCTCCTTAGCGGCAAACCTCTGTCTCACATACTCTGGGTAGGTCGTTCGGAGAGACCGGTTCTTGGAAAAAGACATCATGCTGGAAAGGTGGAGGGTTAGGGAGAGTGAGGAAGACCCTCAATGAGACGGACTGTCACCGTGATGGCAGCCGTGGACTCGAGAGTTTCAGACACGGTGAGGACGGCAAGGAAAGGACAGGGCTCAGTGTCCTTGTTCACAGGGCTGCTAGGAGCCGCAGTGGACTGGATGGCAGGGAACATCTTTAGTGTTGGAACAACTGCTAATGCTGGTAGTCTGAGGAACTGGACCCTCATATTAAGCACATCCTTCTCTAGTCCCTTGAATACCAACACTGGGCTCGGCTGTGATTCCCTCTGGGCAACAGGACATGAGTAAACATAACGCAAGCAGAGGGTTGGCCACTGGCTGCACACTGTCAGCACATCCTACAGAAATGCTTGCTCTTGGAGCCAGGGACCATGTTGGGAAGAATTCCAAGCTATCCATCTGCAGAGAAAAGAGACATCTCAGCAGACATCCCACCCAAGCTGGCCTGGATGGACCCTTCTGTTAGCCTCTCACTGCATCACAGTCATGGTGCAAAGCCAACTGCAGGGCCTGGAGGGCCCACAGACCGAGGGGCCCGGGGTGGCCCATAGTGCCAAGGGGACCCAGAACAGCCCACAGACCGAGGGGACCCGGGGTGGTCCACAGAACCAAAGGGACACAGGGCAGCCCACAGAGCCGAGGGGACCCAGGGCAGCCCACAGAACTGAGGGGACACAGGGCAGCCCACAGAGCCGAGGGGACCCGGGGCAGCCCACAGAGCCGACGGGACCCGGGGTGGTCCACAGAACCAAAGGGACACAGGGCAGCCCACAGAGCTGAGGGGACTCAGGGCGGCCCACAGAACTGAGGGGTGCATGTGGTGAGAGTATCAGTCTATTTTTTGAGTAGTCTTTTATACAGCAACAGAAAACCAAACCAAGTATGTAAATGACAAGCTATTTATCTACAGGGTGTTTACCAAGTTTTATGCTTGTTGGTATTTAAGTTTCATAATAAGAATATTTTAAGTCAACACTGAACAATCTGATCTTTCTAGAAGGGAGTTCATGCATTAATGTGAGGAACCAGGAAGAACAGACAGTGTTTGTACAAAGAGCTTCTAAAGAGTTAAGGGATAGTATCCCCGCCGATCACCAGTAAAAGCACATGACCTTACTCATCTCCCTGCGCTCCACCCTCACATACTTACTCCTGTTTCTCTTGGGAAATCCCATTAAATTCTTTCTGTTCTCAGAGGACAAGCACACACACACAAATAAACAAAAGGATGAAGCCACCCGGCCAGGACTGACGTCCCTAACGCACAGACTTCACCCAGAGACTGACCCTTCACCGGCACACAGGCCGCACCCCTGAGAACTACACAAGAGGGAAGAGCGACTGAAAGCTACTTTCCTTCCTCCGAAGATGCCTTCGGCTTGTTCTTCAATGTGTTCAAAGTCGAGCGCACCTGAAAATGTGAAGAACATAACTTCAGACCCGGAACCTCTGGAAGTTTGTGCACTGCACTGTCCGTGGTCAGCCCAGGACCAGACAGAACTCTATTTGGTAAAGCTGGGAGGGCAGGCCACCCAAACCACTGTCCTCACTGGCTGTGGCTCCCAGCGCCTGCGCTCCCACGTTCTCCCACCCACACGCGGCTCTCGGTAACATGGAGTGGTGGTCTCGTTCCAGGCAAGCCAGGCTCTGAGCGAGACCATGTCTACCAGCACCCTCTCCCTTCTCCTTCATCGCTGGTTCCTAAGCAGGAAGAACACCTATGTGAAAAGTTAGTCATGGGTCTGGGTTAGTTCCCTATTGAGTTTGGGTTTCTTGTTTGAGTTTGAGTTTTATTTATTCTTAAGTAATCTCAACAATAGACACTCTAGTTGTTTATGTCCAAGGCAATCCAAGGGGGGCAAAACCCTGATTTAACCAAGAAGGAATCTAAGTTCTTTCCACTACTCTCTTATCCCAAAGATACAATGATCCTTAAAACTATGAACATTCTCCCCATTCCTAGAAGGACATTTCTAGATCACGATGTTTACCTTCTACCTTTCTTACCCCAGATCCACTCCCAGGGCCCCGCCCTACTCTCCCACTCCCCGGACCCCGCTCAGCTCCCAGGGCCTCACCTCACTCAGGAACCACTAACCTGGCACATTACTTGGTCCTTCTGGGCTGCTGCTTCCAGAAGATGTGTCTGAGGTCTGGGAATTGCTTTCATCAAACTCCCGCTTAAATATACACAGGAGGCAGGAGATCCTATAATCCAACCTCACATTCAAAATAAACTAAAGATTCAAGTGGAAAAGGAAACAGATTGGTTACGTCACCACCTTCCACAGTCCGCCAAGCACCACCAAGCCTGCATTCGGCCTGGGCCTGCCCTCAGTGGTGCCGATCATCGTAAGCACTAAGTGAACAAGTGTGTGGCTTCGATTCTGAGTCACTTTACTACAACAGGCTTCCTTGGGAATATCAAGCCAGCTGACAGCATCTTAGCCTCTAACTCCAACAGCTGAGTAATTATGTTAACAACCGGAGACCCAAACCACCCCTCTGAACCACTACTCTATTCCCTATGGGAAAAAAAACCCAAATAATAAAAACTTTATTTTGACAAGTGCTGATTACCAACTAATGACCTGCCCTTGAAAAGCATGAAGTTGGCCACTTTTAATTCCCTAGAACTAGGCAAGAATAACTTGCTCTTCCTACTAAGAATTCAGGAGAAGGATGGGCAATCTCCTCCTGCGCAATTAAGTACCTCTGCATACCCGCTGGAGGGCCAGCTATGGGTCGGTTCTGACTCTCCGGTACCCAACAACACTAAGAATTAGCCGGGTTCATCTGTTCTGCTTCTGACTAGAGACTCCCAGTTAGCTACTAACCACTCAGTCTCTCTTCTCTGACTCCCCAACTCCAGCACAAGGTAACTCACCCTGAGTAGATCGGAGCCAGAGAGATGCACCAAACAGCGCCCCCCCCCGCCCCCCGTTCCACATCACCCTCCTGGACCCCACCCAATCTCAGGGCCAGCATCTCTCGGACACTGGCCAGCTATAGGAGCCACCTGAGGGTCAGGATGACTGGAAGGACACAGTCATGACGGGGTACGGTAAGGAGCGACATGAGAGAGACTGAAAGTGGCCAGGTCATGAACATCAGTGGGGCTGAGCTAAGAGTTTTACAGTCTTCGCTCTAAATACCCTGGTGACATGTCTAAGCTGAGACTAGCCCCGGGGGCCCTCTGTGGAGCATCTCCTCGCCCTGGCTAACCAGTACCTGGAGGATTTCTATGATCTTCAGCTTGGTGTCCATGACCATGATGTCCTCCTTCTCAGGCTCGGCCTGCTTCACGTTGCCTTCTGGGGCCGCAGCCATTGGGGTCATGGGCAGGAAGCCACCTCCTCGCAGCACCACCTGTGTCATCAGCTCCCCAACACCATGGATGGACCTCATCACGTTACTGCCTGGGACGGGCCAGAGAGACTAGGGTCATGGTCACACATAGGGTGCCCTCAGGAACACAATACCTGACCTTTGCCCCATCTGCCACTGTCCTCACCATCTCTGACATGGTCAAGCCCATTGCTACAGTCAGGGTGACAAGCACAGGGCCGAGCAGATACACAGGGAGGTGAGGACGCATGCGTGCAATCCTCATTATTCAGAGATTCCGTACTTGTGAATCCATCTACTCGCTAAATCTATGTGCAGCCCCAGAGCCAGCGCTTCCCATCCATGTGCGGTCAGGCTGAACGTGACGAGAATGCAGTCGCCTCACAGGCGCTCCCAGCAGGCTGAGCTCGGACACACTCTGCCTTCTTGTTCCAGCTCTCACACCACAAACAAGTGTGTTCTTTTTGTGTGTGATGCATTTAGTACTTTATTCTTGTGTGTGCATTTTTGTTGGTGTTTTGGTAATTTATCTGATTAAAATGTCCCTAAAGTGTAGTATAAAAAGTGATGCCCAGCGTTCCAAGTCACTGGAAGGTGTGACTCGCCTTCTAGAGAGGTGTGTTTTCAGTGTGGTTTAGACAAGAGTGACAATGCTGTCGGCTCTGACCCCAATGCTGATGAACCTACAACATTATTTTAAAAAGACGTATTCAAAGAAAACCTTTGGTCACCTGCTGGTAGGTTGGTAAGACTGAGACTCACAGAACTCTCACCCCAATGCCCCAGGAGTAACGATGACCGTCTGCAAGCTCACTGTGGTGACGCAACAGAACACCACTACTTATCACAGTATTAAGTGATCATGGCATCACTGCAGAAAACCGCTCACATAATCAATACACAAACACCTCAAATGTACCTGTTTTACTCGAAAATTTAAGTAAAAGTAAACACAAAATGTCACCTTCTCCTACTTACGAGGCATTCAGGGTAGAAATGAGACATTGAAATATAAGCGTGGGTTTTGTTATTATCGCATTTCAAAGTTCTCAGGGCTCAACAAACAATGAAAACCTTGTATTTTCAAGAGATACATGTTGAAATAGATAACTTGCAAATGGTTCATCAAAATACATAAATTTAGACACTCACAAAACAAAAATAGACAGACATTAATACAGAAATACAGAAATGTATGTAATCATTCCAACTAAGTTGGCAGACAGATATCCACTGTGCTTTTCTTCTGGATTTTCTTTGTATGTGAAAATATTCCTTATGAAAATCTGGGGAAGGACATGTCATAACATCACACAGTCAAGTCTGGCAAGAGTGGACACACAGGGTAGCCGGAGGGTCTCCCCGCAGCTCACCGCTGCCAGCTTCCCAGTGCCGTTCCTACCTTTGTTCTCCTCTCCTTTCGTCATCTTGCTGACGGGGAAGATAGTCGTCACATGCACGCAGTCCAGGATGGCCAGCAGGATCTTGGTCAGTCGTAGGAGGTCAGAGAAGTTGTAGAAACCAAAGTATATCAGATTCCTCGCTAAATTTACAACCTATTACATTTAAAAAGAGAGAGAGAGAGAGAGAGAGATGGTATTTATTCCTTAACTTTGATTTGATGCTGGCTAATTTGTAAATGACCATGACCTTCTTGAGACTACAAGACTTTTATCATTCTCCTTTATTTTAGAAAATTCATATAAATGACTTAAAATTTCTGAAAAAAGTTTCCATCAAGAGGAAAAATAAAGCATGAAAGTCAGCAAAACTCTTGAGCTGATCTGATCTGGTGGCTAATTAATAAAAAGCTGACTTGATAACTTGGTCTATTTGATGTTCCAAAATAGTACCTGGAAAATCAAATATTATGCCACAAAATAGCAAAGCTCCTGCTGGTTTTGTTGTGTATCATTGAGCCAGAACCCTTCACTGAGCCCTTCAGCGGGTTTTCAGAAGCAGTTAATCGCATGGGGAGGAGACTGCCCATCCTTCCCCCACCATCCACTCCTCCGGGGTGGATGGCGGATTCAAACCACGTGCCTTTGGGGTAGCAGTGCAACTCCTAACCACTGGGCCACCAGCGCTCCTTTACAAGGCGTCTCGAAATTACATAATATTAGCAGAGAAAGAGGAGCATCGAAATCTTTGGAATTGAACCTTTAAATGCAAAAGCAGTCTCAGAGAGCAAACATCTTAGCTCAAAGGAAATAGTGGGTCCTTTGTGTCAGTGTTAATGGAAAGTTCAGAGAACATGCGATGTCCCAGCATTTCCCACAAGCCAGTTTCCACGCACACGTCTAAGAACACACCTTCTATCAGACAAGTGGCCGATGCCACTTTCATCATTTATTCTGTAACAAAACCAAGCTGATTATTTCTTATTACAAAACTAGAACGTTGTGGCAAAATAATTGCATATTAAAACATTTTCTGTACACATACCCTAGAGTCAAATGACCATTAAACACCTTGTAAAACACACAAGCTGTTGCATCTTGAGTTACCTCAAACGTGAGCTTATTTTTCTCCTTATCAGAGAAGGGGAACCTCTGGCAAACCACGTCTCTTAAATACTCCTCCACGAACTCCATGGTCTGTGCGAACCTCTCCTTGATCTCATCCTTGGAAGCCCCGCTGCTGTCATAGCTGTGAGGGGGGACGGAGATCAGGCTCTTCCCAGCGACGTTGTTCAGCGCACACTGCGCAGCCCCACCCACACTCCCCTTCCCCACCCCTGCGCCACCTCCCTCTCCCTGTCACCCCGCTCCAGCACGCGGACCTTATGCCTCTGTCTTATTTTGTCCTCTATGACTGCAGGACAGTGTTCTACACCTTCTGATCCCTGAATAATCCATGAACCAAATCCCAAAGCAAACCAAACCCCTGCCATCAGGTCGGTTCTGACTCAGAGCCACCCTCTGTCAGCTTCCGAGGCTTTAAGGAAGGAGACTGTATCTCCTGTTCAGGAGACCCGATGGAGAGGTTCTACTCCACATACAGAGGACGGCCCTGGGGACCCTACATGGAGGCTTTACTCCACATATAGGGCACAACCCTGGGGACCCTACAGACAGGTTCCACTCCACATACAGGGCATCGTGAGTCTGACTCGACCTGGTGGCACACAGAACCACCAGCAGTGAGAAGAAGCAGCTCACTCATCAATGACGATGTCAGAGGGGATCTCCGACCAGAGGCGGGCGTATTTCACGGGTGTGACCTGTTCCTGGGGGTCTCGATCCACATGCATGTGCAACATCAGTCGGCAGAAGGAGGCCCGCAGGTCATAGGGCAGGTTCTCGTCAGACATGCAGCGCAGGATGAGGTCCACGTCCAACTGGCCAGAGATCTCGTTGATGGCCAGGTACTGTCGGTCCAGGCACATCCTGGCAAAGAGGTTGAGCTGGTACCTGGAGAGAAAGGAAACATGCCCTCAGGCCCAGCAGTCACCCAGCACGTGAGGCCAGACCGTAACGAGATGTGGCGCCTCGAGCCACTGGACCACCACTCAGTCACAACAAAACAAAGGCCCGTATCCAGTCACAGAGCCTCACCTCACACCCAGGATGGACAAAGAAGAGAAGACGCAGGACTGTAGGCATACGGTCTGACTCACGGACAGCGAGCCAAGGGACCAAGTACGGCATTACTTATGGATGACGCAAACCAAGGCGGCAGCACACAAACACCTAGTGTGAAAGGATGTGCAGTGCCCACGTGCACAGAAGGAGACAGGAGGACCTGGGGGCCAGGAGAGGGCATTCACTGCACTGAGAAGTTCTGGGAGCACGTCTTCACCATCTCTTTTCTTTCTCCTATGTATTGGTTTTCTTTTCTTTTCCTCTTCTCTTCTTTTGGGTAACAAAGGTCACCAAGCCTTGGAGCTGTGCCCAGGAGACAATGAGATGGAGGAGGGGGAGGTGAGAGAGACGGTGGGCTAGGGCGACTGGTAAGTACCCAGCACAGAGGCTGCCAGGTCACTGTCAGAGAAGGGTACCTGGACCTAAAAGAGCCAAGACTGGTATAGAGAGAGCCCTGGTGACACAGCCGCCGAAGTATTTGGATGTCTAATCAAAAGGTTTGTCAGTGATTCCAACTGATCATCCCTGAAGGAGGAAGACACCGCATCTGTCCCTGCAAACGGTGGGTCTTCCCGTGCCGTGCTAACGCCCTCAAAGTCACCGCAGTTCAGTCAAGCACAGCTCATAGCTTCCCCCAGCTGTTTTTCAGAGCCTGCAAAGCAGGGCAGAGTGTCCATCTTTCTCCCATGGAGCCTCCGTTGGATCCAAACGACCAGCGAGGTGCCATCTATGCGCTGAGTGAATAGCGCCCTGCCGACTATGCCACAGAGCATGCTGGGAGCGGGTTCTCCCAACACAGCAGAAGTGACGCAGCAGGACTGAGTCTGGCTCGAGCATGAAGAGAAGACACCTTACATAGTCGAATGGGTCTAGAATGGAACTGCAAATACTGTGTGAATTCCCAATTCCTATCAGCAGTTTCCACAGAAACATAAAAGTGTGTAAAAAGAGAGCGCGTAGAACAGGTCGGTGCTGCTGTGTGTCTCCGGGTAGACGTCGACTCACAGTGACCCTCCCGGGTAAAGCAGGACTGTTCCACAGTGCTTCCAGACTGTATTCCACACAAGGGAAGATTTCCTTTTTCCTTTCTTTATTTCCCCCCAAAGGAACCTCTAGTGCATTTGAACCAGTGATGTTTGTTGTTACTGTCATGTGTTGTTGAGTCACCTGCGACCCATAGCGACCCTACATTGAGCAGCTGTGAACTCTGCTCTGTCCTGAGCCAGTCTCACTGATTCTAACCACCAAGCCCCATTGCCCCAGTCACTGTATCAATCCATCTCATCCGGGTCTTCCTCTCCTGCACTGTCCATCCACCATTCCAAGCATGATGTCATTCTCTAAGAACCGGTCTCTACTGGCTATGTCCCCAAAGTATGTGAGATGGAGCTTCAAAATCTTAGCCTCCAAGGAGAAACTTGGTTTCTCCCTCTCCAAGACAGACTTATTTATTTTCTTGGCAGTCAGGGTATATTCCAGACTCTTCTCCAGCACCACAACTTGAAGGCATCAATTATTCTTCTGTCATCCTTAGTCACTGCCCATCTCTCTGTAGTATAACAAGTAATTGCAAAGACCAGTTCCTGGATTAGGTGTACCTTAGTCTTTCAACTGGCACTGTTGCTTTCCAGTACTCTGGAGAGGTCCATGAAAACAGATTTTCCCAGTGCAATTTGTCTTTTGATTTCCTGACTGCTGGTGTTAAGAGTGTTGATTGTGGAGCTGAGCAAGTTGTAACTGTTAATAACCTCAATCTCTTCTCCATCCATCCTGGTGCTGCCAATTGGCCCAGTGGGGAGAATCTTTGTCTTCTTGATGTTAAGCTTCAATCCATATTGAAGAGTGCAGTCCTTTACCTTCTTCATCAAACACTTCAGGTCCTCTTCAGTTTCAGCAAGGAAGGATGTGTCATCTGCATAACATAGGTTGTTGATAAGTCTACCTCCAATCCCGATGCCACATTCCTGCTCATAAAGCCCAGCTTCCTGAATGATCTGTTCTGCATACAGATTGAAAAGGTATGGAGACAGGATGCCTCCCCATCACCACGGCTCCTGTGGAAAAACAGGCCAGCATTTGCACACACGTGCACACACCACCTCTCTCTGTCAGCAGAAGTTCTGAGGCTGCCTTCATCATAAACATTTTGCAGATATAAAAAGCAAGGGGTAAGGACATAAATAACAACAATAACAACAAAAAAGACGTGTGTAACTTCAGTGAAATGTTTAGTAAGTGGTGCGGTGAGGACTTGAACCCAGGCAGTCTGAGCCCATAACCTGAATGTTTTCTACTCTATCTTTTCAACATATCTGTGCTCTTTGGGATTACAAGTATCCGTCCTGTTGAGCATCTAGAGCTCAACTTGCTGGCCCAGTTGCGCTGATGTTCTCTTGAACTCTAAGCTCCTAAGCTGCATGCCCGTCTTTCCACTAGGAAGTACTTTCCAGCGATCCTGAGCTTCCATGGAGTGGTCAGCCGCAGGCTCTGACCGCCAGCCCCCCTCCCGGTGGGCTCCCGAGCCCAGCCCGTCACCTGTAGTAGCTCAGGACGTCCCGGTCTTCCTTCTGTCCCTCCTTCGCATCCTGCGCCAGCTCCCGGACACTCTTACTGCGAATCGCCTTGCTGCTGTCTCGCCAAAACAGCCACACTTCCTCCTCATCCTCGCCCGACTCCAGAGCATTCTCCCCCGTGGAGACACCTTCAAACTCGAACCGAGAAAGGACCAGCCTGAAAACGAGGAGCAGACAGAGAACCCGCCACTGTCAGATTCAGGTTCACGCTCAGCAAAAAGACACACAGAACACTGTTTTGTCTCATGTGTCTCCCAGAGAAAGAGAAGCAAAAGCCCAACATTAACCCTTTCATTTATATTAGACTAGTGATTCTTCGGGAGCTCTGGAGGCCCAGCGGTAAGAAGCTGCACTGCAATCCCAAAGGCACGTGGTTTGAATCCATGAGCTGCTCTGTCAGAGAAAGGTGGACAGTCTTGTCCCAGGGGATTTACTGTTTCTGAAAACCCTCTGGAGGGTCAGCTATGAGTCAGTTCTAACTTGATGGCACACAACAACGACAGTGATTCTTGAGCTCTGATGGCCTACTGATAAGAAGCTGTGCTAAAAGCACGTGGTTTGAATCCACCATGGAAGAATGGGAAATCTCTTCCTGGGCAAGTAAATTATTGCCTCTAAAAACGTGCTGAAGGTCAGTTATGGGTAGATACTGAATTGACACACACAACAATTGTGATTCATAATGAGTGAGAAATTTTGGCCCCAGAGACATTCTTATAATGGGGACATTCTGTTTGTCAATGGAATGGGGGGGAGGGAGGTGTTCTTCTGACATCTAAAGAAGAACAGAGATGCTGTTCAGCAATTCACAGTTCACAGGAGAGACCCTATAACTGAGGGCTGGCTAGTCAAAAAGGGTCAAACATGAGAAGAAATACGTAACATCAGTCTATGACGCTATTAGAAGACATTGCTCACACCCCTGCACCACAGGTTTTCATGGAAAACAGCTCCACTGCTCAGCAAGGACCGGGCACTATCAGAGCTTCCAGAGATCAGAGAGCACATTCTGAGCCGTGACCTTCAAAAGTTCTTAACATAATGACTTCACATCTACAGCAAATGAACAGGAAAAGCTTCAGAATTCTAGGGGGCGCTGGTGGCCCGGTGGCAAGAAGCTGCACTGCAGGGTATGCAGTTCGAATCCACCAGATGCTCTGCTGGAGAAGGAGGAACAATCTCCTCCTGCACCAGTCAGATCCGATTTGACGGTACACACACAAAAGAATTTTTCTTTAAAAAAAAGGGAAAAGCTTCTTCTTAAATGTGAAAAGAATAACCATACTATTAGAATTTTAAACTCTCAAAATTTAGAGTGTATGAAATGATTCTGGGAGCTTACATGAATTCAAGTTTGACAATGATGATTTATATTATTAGTATTCGAGGAGTAATCACATAAACAGCACAATTTTAATGGACACTGTGATGGTGTTCCCCTTTCCTCCCCTCCTCCCAGACTCCAAGCGACAGCACTGTGCAGAGGAAGTCACGTGAAAGAAAATGTATTCATCCCCTAACCAAGCCCTGTCCAGAGCAAGGACATACCAGCAGTGTGACTTCGGACCACACCTCATCCCCTAACCAAGCCCTGACCAGAACAAGCACGAGCCAGCAGTGTGACTTCAGACCACATCTGCGGAAGCCTCAGCAGGGTCTGTATACCTTCCTTGTACACGCAAACATTGCATTTCCATTCAAAGGCCGCCCTGTCCCATCACCCACTCACTTGGTCTCTATCAGGATGTCGGCATTGGTAGGGTTCAGCACAGCTTTGCAGATGAGTTCCTGGGTCACCGGAATCGATTTGTTCATGGACACACAGAGGTCAGAGAGGTAATCTAAGAATCTGCCAAGAAAACAGAATGAAAAACGAAGCACCATCTTCAGACCCAGCCGGCTGGCTTGCGTCTCTTGACAATGATGCTCTTCCAAGTGAACAGGCCCAGCAGCGTTTTAGAAAGTCAGCACCACCCTGGATCTTGATGCTGGCACCTGAGGGCACTTCCAGGGTCAGGGGCACCCCAGACACCAGCGGGGAGAAGAAATGAGCAAATATGTAAGATGGCAGTGAGGGGACAGAGGCAGGAGAGAGAGAACAGGGCAAGAAGACAAGAATGACACTGACTTCAGGAAGGAAGGGAGAAGCAGCGGTGTGGCTGGGGCAGGGCTGGCGTCCCGCGGGCGAGCAGGCACCCTGGTTCTGACATTTCACAGAAAAAACAAACCAGATGCCAATGAGTCCACCCCACAGCGCCCTATGCGGGTCAGAGCTGAACTGTGCTCCTCAGGACCCGAGGGCTGTCGTCGCCCAGAACCGACAGCCAGGCTTCTCTTCCCCATCTTATCTGAGTGGATCTGAACCTCCCGGCTGTCCATTCACAGCTCAGCACTCATCTGATGCTTTTAGCTTTGTTCTGATATTACTGCTATGTGAGAAAATCATGTCACTTCCCTGGGTTTCCATTTTCTCAATTTCAGGAAAGGGTACTATGCTGGCTCAGAGTCTGTCCTGAGCATTAAGCTCACAGACAGTGCTTCTCTCCCCTACTTGGTGCATGGAATATGTTCCATGAAAGCTAAAAGAGGAAGAAGAATTATCCTTCCCGAGTGTCCACTGAGGAGTCCCGTGACTCAGGCACCAAGTGTCCGCAATGCAGGTCCATCAGCAAATTCCCAGAAGGGAGAAGGGGGTGGTCTCCTCCCCTAAAGATTTATATGCTCGGATGTGGGGTTACGCTGACCAGGGCAGAAGCTGCCTGGGTGAACAAAGCTCGTGCCCTGGGGCAGCGTAACCCGGACTCACACTGACGCTGCCTTCTGATCCAGATGAAGTCATGGAAACAGGGGAGGCCGGCGCCTAAGAAACGGTAAAAACAGTCTGGAGTCCAGCTAACATATTTTACTGCTGATGTCATTAAAAGCTTGTCAGTAAAAGCAATGAGGGTGTGTAGGTCGGGAGGACACTCGGGCCTGAGCCCCTCTCCCCTCATCGCCTGACTAAGCCTTGAACACTTCACTCTGATCAAAGCACTGGCCTGCTGGTCAGAGAAAGTGTGACACTCGGCGACCAGAGCTGGGCGGCTCTGCGTGAACCAACTCGGCAGAACTGAGCTGCTCAGTGCAGGGTAACTGTGGGCTGCGCCAGCTAAATCCAAAGCGTCCTTGTTATTTGTATTTACTCTCGTTTAGTCCTTGTTAATTCCTACTGAACATAGAAAACAAAGCTGGGGGGGGGAATCAAGACACGCAGCTGGCAAATGTGAGAGTGGGGACGCTCCATGGTGTGTCTCAGCACCTGTCCTTCTGCCCCCACCAAAGCTCTCAAGCCTGTCTGCCCTTAACCTGCCCCAAGGGCAGAAAACCTCCTACAGGCTCCTTTACAACGCAAAACACCTGCCCACTGCCCCGACCCCACCTCACCTTGCCTGGGCCCCCACCTCAGCTCACCTGGGTCCCCCACCTCCCTTGCCTGGGCCCCTCATCTTACCTGAGCCCCCACCCCACCTGGGTCCTCCACCTCACCTCACCTGGGCCTCTCACCTCACTTGGGACTCCACTTCACCTGGTCCATCTTAATCCTACCTAACCCTCACCTCACCTTTCCCCCTCTTATGTCACCTGGCTCCTCACCTTGACCCCACCTCACCTGCTCCCCCCAACCCCACCTCACTTGCCCCCCCCCCAACTCTACCTACCTCACCTGGCCCTTCCACCTCACTGGGGCCTCAACCTGACCCCGCGGCACCTCCTCCACCGTGTCTCTACCCCACTTGTCCCCCACCCCCACTGACCTGGGCTCCCGGTTCTTTCGCACGAGGCTGACGAACGTGTCGATCTCAGCGGCGGTGATGTGCTTCTCCAGGAGTTTCCGGTTGTTGTGGAGCAGGGCGGTGATGGTGTCTTCTGCCAACACATCGTAGCCAATCTGCTTCTGCATGAAGCCAAACTGTTTGGCTATGTACTCCTGTCAGGGAGGAAGGAGAGGGCCGAGGTCAGCAGGGACAGAGGGCACGTGGTGCTGCTCCGTGTCAAGTGACGACAACGCACAGGGACCTGTGAACAGGAGATCTGACCCTGCTCTATGCGCCACCACCCTCGAGAGGTCTGATGTGCTGGAGACCCCTGTTCCGGTCACTGGGTCAGTGCATCCTGGGGAGGGTCTTACTTCACACAGGCCTTTCTCCTCCAAGGACTGGCCGCTCCCGAGAACACACTCCCGGCACACGAGCCAGAACGTGAGCCTTGTCTGTGTGGAGCCCGCTGACCGCACTTCCACCACAGGCCGGTCGTCTGGACAGGCCATGCAGCCAGGACTCTGCTCCAACACTGGGATTCAGAGGCATCGACTCCAAACAGTGTTACACACCGCCAAGTCAGAACCAATTCACTGCTGCCTCCAGCAGGTTTGCAGGGACCAAGGAGGCCGCCATCCTTCTCCCACGGAGTAGCTGGTGGATTTGAACTGTGTACCATTGGGCTGACAGTGTAACTCCTTACTACTGAGCTACCAGAGCTTCACTAAGATAACTAGGGTTGAGCTGAAAATAGGGAAAACAGTATCCTTTCTTGATGAATGGGAACGGCCCTCAGAGAGACTCCAGCAAGACGTCTCCCCGCCACTTCCTGCTACAACCTTCGGGCAGCTACAAAACCCCCACAGCCTGGATTTCTCTGAAACCTCCACATGAATGTCATTACGCAAAATGCCCTCTGTGCAGCATCTTTACATATGGTTATTTTCTTAACGACACAGCATGAATTTTAATCCAGTGATTTCTTTTTTAAAACGTCAAAGGTTATTTTTCAGCTTGGAATTTATCATTAACCAGAAGAATTTAACTGTGCCCCACTGTGGGTAAATAAAACCCAATTAAAATTACTTGGGTGTTTGGGACAATGTTGTTCAATTCCATTCTCTTTAAGTGGCGTAAGAAGACACTGGAAAGCCACAGGTAGCAGGAAAAGCGGACATCTGATGACGTTCACAGACACGTGAACACCACTTCGATTTTTTCTCTTTTGAGATCAGATGTCACAGTTCATTACAATATCTGTGAACTCAAAGTAACCTCCTATTAAGACATTTTCTGTTTCTATTCAGAGACACTCCCCCAAGGTAGAGTGTTACCTTGTTTAAAGTTCAAACAGCCATTCAACCTTGCTTCTACTTATTCCCTTTCATTAATCCCAGATCCTGAAAATTACTCAGGTAGTATGTGGCCACTGGATCACTTCCTTCATCTGGGGCACCTACCTGGAGATAAAGCAGGGATAAGGGTGGCACTATGCTACCACCACTATTCATAGACTTGGAAGCCCCAGGGGCCAGTTTTACAGCATCCTAGAGGTAGTGCTTGTGTGAAACCTATATTTGGACCAGGAGGCGGTTGTCAGACAGAGCAATAAGACACTACATAGTTCAAAATTGGGAAGGGTGTATGCCAGGATGTGTCCTATCTCCATATCTTTTCAGTCTATATGCAAAACAGATTACCCGAGAGACTGGGCTCTATGAGGAGAAATGTGGCATCAGGATTGGAGGAAAACTCATCACTAATCTGTGTTATGAATAATGACACAATCCTGCTTGCTGAAACTGAAAAGGACCTGAAGTGCTGGCTGCAGAAAATCAAGGACTGTATGAATTAAAGCTCAACATAAAAAAAAAAAGCTCAACATCAAGAAAACAAAGATTCTCACCACTGAGCTGATTGGCAGCATCATGATAGACAATGAAGAGACTGAGACTGTTAACAGCTTCGGTTTGCTTCGCTCCACAATCAACACTCTTTGTACCAGCAGTCAGAAAATTAAAAGACAAACTGAATTGGGAAAGTCAGCTGTTAGGGACCTCTCCAAAGTACTGAAGAACAGGGACATGAGTCTGGAAACTAAAGTACACCTCATTTAGGCCATGGCTTTGCAATCACTTGGTATGCATCAGAAACCTGGACAATGACTAGGGAAGACAGAAGGAGAATTGATGCCACTGAGCTGTGGTACTCGAGAAGAGTACTGAATATACTTTGGTTAGCTAGGAGAACAAATAGGTTCATCCTTGAGAGGGTGAAACCAGACTGCTCCTTGGAGGCAAGGATTCTGAAGCTTCATCTGACATACTCTGGACATGTTACAAGGAAGGACTGGTCCTTGGAGAGGGACGTCATGCTTGGGAGGGTAGAGGGACAGCACAGGGGAGGAAGGCCCTCTATGAGATGGACTGATTCAGTGACAGGTTAATGGGGATAGATGTGTCAGAGACAATAAGATTGGCACAGGATAGAGGAGGTTTAGGGTTGTTGTACGTAGAGTCACTATGAGTTGCAAGCGATTGATGGAACACAGCAATAATATAACATGGGTTTGGAGACTCATGTATAAAGCAGTTGGATTCTGAAAGGTAGGATCTCTTGTTTGAGCTGAAAGTTGGGTGTAAACTGTTTGATTGCTTTTTGTTTTGTTCACAATCGTGTGTGAGTGGACTGGATTTACTGGATTTAGCTAACAATCAGCTGTGAGCTGGAAGCCTCTAGTTTAAGTCAGTAAGGATCTGGTATGTGGGCCTTTGTGTTTGGGAAGAACATTCTTCTAAATGGTACAGTACTGGTGTATCAGTTTACTGTACTGTGGTAACTTGGGGTTGCTGTGATGCTGAACATTGTGCCACTGGTGTGTCAAATGCTGGTTACCCATGGTGGACAGTGCTTGGTGGAGCTCCCAGATTAAGACAAGACTGGAAGCAGGATTAGCATTCACATCCTAAACAACATGCATTTTGAAACTGTATTAACATTAGAGAAACCATGATAGTTATAGAATGGGGTTCAGATCTTTTGTTCATAGAGTCACTATAGGTTATACTCGATTCGACAGCACTTAACAACAACACAGGGTGAAATGACAGTGACCATTATCAATGGGCTCAAGTGTATCAGAGATGGTGAGGATGGCACAAGTTAGGAAGGGTTTGGATCTGGTGTTCATCAGGTCTCTGTAGGTCATGGCCAACTCAACAGTACAGAACAAGAACGTAACACAGGGCGGCCGGCCGTGAACCTGACTCTAACCTGAGTGCTAACGGCTTCACGGTGTTGGCATCACACACACATTATACTACACACACAAAACACAGGCAGAGGAGGCTGAGAAAAAGATGCTGTAAAGGTAATACTAACGTCTAAAAAGAACATGACTGCTAACATGCAACTAACATTCTCTCCTAATTCAAAGAAAAGAGGAAGAAAGCAAACCAAAGACTCAGAGAAAGCTGGTCGGCAGCCGGTCAGCAGGAAGCAAGGTGGGAGCACCTGCCTTTGAGTGTCTACCTTTGAAGACCATTCTCATGGGGCCCAGCAGATGGACCTTGTCCTCTGAGACTACAGGAGCTAGATGGTGTCTGTTTTCATGGGGCCCAGCAGATGGATCTCATCATGGACTGGGGTGTGCACCCCCCACCCCCCACCATATGCATCTACTTGGCCAGGCCACGATTGTTAGTATCATGTAATTATCCTACATGCTGTCAAACCTGACACTGGGGATGCTAAAGGCAGCTATGCACAGCTGTAACCATCCCTATGATGTGGCCTATCAACTGGACAGTAGAGAAGTGGGCCGGATGCAGGACGCTCAGCTGGTCACAGCCCTGATCCGCTGTGAGGAACACTTACTCCAGGTGAGGCCCGCATCACCTTTGTTTTACAAGTGACAAGAGGACAAGAAGGGAGCGGAGATGAGGGACTGCAGGGTCACCAGGGAGGATGCCTCAGGAGCGGAGAGCATCCAGTGGACTCAGGTCCCTGCACCGGGAAACTTCCAGAACCGAGAGACAGAGAGTCTTTCCCTAGAACTGGCACCCTGCTCTCAAACCTGCAGCTTCCCAGACCCCAGAGAACAAGCTTCTGTTCCGCCGTCGACTTGGATTCTCCGTTAGCGCCTGGGTAGACAGCTTTGACAGAGGGAGAAAACACCCCATGGGGGGCCCTTCTCAGGACGCCCAGACCTTCAGGACAAGCTGATCTTAGAAGACTCTCGAGACTCTCACCCTGACACTCTCCTTAAACCTGAACTGAAATTCTATCCCGAATCACCGCTCAGCTAAACGACACCATGGCAGAGCGTGGTATCAGTGAGTATCACGTGCCTCTAAACCACTCATCTATGGACACCAAATGGTCAGCATCCTCTACAGCAAAGATGAGAGGCAAGGAGGGCAGGGAGCCCAGATGACTGGAAGTGAATCACTCAGACGGGAATGAATGTCAAGTTCACAGGGACACACCGTGAAAACAGCAACCAGCACCAGTGAACAATTTTCAACACTGCTGTTAAATGGGAACCTAATTTGTTTTGCAAACTTTCACCAAAACCACAACACCGTAGACACAAAACATGACTGACATAAGTGGTCCCACGAACTGGACGTGAGGAGATGCTGCTGGACAAGTGTGTTACCCATATTCGCACAATTTGCAGAAGTCACGGGAAGGTGGCTGCACATGAGTAAGGCCTGCGCATCCTTCAGAACTCTGACAGGGACTGGTCCAGCACTGCAAGCATCCCGCCCCCTTCCATGAACAAACCTGTCACTGGATACTGTCTGTCCCTTGAAGGAACACATGGGACCCTTGTGAGGGAAGGCATGAACCTGCGGACAGAACCACGCCCGCTGATCGCACCTGGTTCTTCCTGTAGTCCTGCTGCGAGTGTCTCAGGACCCGGTAGCAGAGCCGGCAGATATGTCGGAAAGGGGCGTGCCTCTGGTCCCCAAGTTCCTCCAGTCGAAGCATCGGGCCATCCCCGCAGTCTGTGAACGGGGCCTGGAGCAACTTGAAGATCTGGTTTTGAAAACAGAGAGCAAACAAGACTGTCACCTGGAAAGGCTCGGACTTTCTGCAAGACCCCAACCTCCGGTGTGGCTGGAATGCACAGACACGAACGTGTCACCCGATCCCAATGCACCAACCACCTGAAGTGTCCTTGATCACCAGAGACTGCATGCACACTGGACCCAGGCACCAGACCATCCAGCGTGGAGAGCAGTGGTCAGGCCTCAGGCTCAGTCCAGGCTGAAACCGTACAGTCCACTGCTCTCTAGCTGGACAGATGATGATCAGGGCAAACTGCTGTCTTCCTGTCAGTGACACAGAAAGAGGAACACGGAGCTCCAAGGGGCAAGAAGGGCAGCGGACAGGCTGCAGACAGCGCTCGCTGCATCACCAGGCCAGGCCCTGCACTGCCCTCGCTGCGGGCTGCACCTCTGGGCCAGGCCCTGCACTCCCTCCCTGCACCACCAAGCCAGGCCCTGCACTGCCCTCACTGCACCACCAAGCCAGGCCCTGCACTGCCCTCGCTGCGGGCTGCACCTCTGGGCCAGGCCCTGCACTGCCTTCCCCGCACTGGCCCAGGCCCGGCTCTCACAGACACCTTTTCAGACTCTCAAGGAATCACCATGTGAAAATGAGCTTCAGACATTCAGGCAAAACTGTACTTTGGGAATCCCCTCCTTGGCCAACAAGACAGAACTGATTCTTAAAGGTGAAACTTACTAAAACGTGATGGAGTATAAGTAAACTTTACCATAATCCAAGAGGCTTTGCACATCCCTTGGGATGTACCTTTAATTTTGTCTTTGTAGATTTGGTGGCTAGAGACTTGCATGCCAAGTTGGGGCCTCATCTCCAAGTGCTTTAGAGAACGGCATGATGGGTATTTTATGCTCTTGAGCAACCCTGGACTTTAAAGTGCCAGTCTCTAATTTGTGTAAATTTAAATCGAATTAGACCACGTCTGTGTTTTCTGAAAAGCACTACCCATTCTTTAGGAATGATTTTTGGGGTGATTTTTAGGAGTCCCAGTAAGATCCTATAAGGGTTTCTTAGTTTATTAAATTTCCCAAGTCTCTCATATAAATGAAATAAGTCACTTTACATTATCCTAGAAAAATTAAAACTAGCAATTGCCATCTTCTTGGCATTCCTAACCCACAAGTGTGTTAAAGATACCCTGGACAAGCCTTCCGGATGGGAGCTGGTCCCTCTCTCTACACGGGTGGGAAGCCCACCGATACCATGAAAAGCTGGCTGCCCAAAAGGCACTGACCTGCTTGAGAATGTTCTGTTCACGCATCAGCTTCTGCCGCTCTCTGTTGGGCTTGGAGAAGACCACTTCAAGCACATCTTGGCCAGAATTGGTTCCACCAGTGACAAAGTAAACCAAGTCTTCCAGCAACTTGGTCACAGACCTTAGATGGGAACACAAAGCTTCAGCTTAAACCTCCAGGCCCGAATGACCAGTTAAAGAGTTGCACTCTACTCTTCTCAAGTCTCAAGACTGACCATGAAGGCCAATCACCAAGAAGAATAAAACATAGACAACACATTACTATCCATAAAAGGATTACTACGTTCGTGAGCTACTAGCCATCAATTTTAGTTGCTGGGAAAAAAGCATCTCCAAATATTTAGTAATTTATACTAGCTGCAGAGAGAAAGACGCAGTGAAAGAGAAACCTTCACAAGTTGGCTTTCAAAAGTGCATGAAAGGGGATTCCTTGAAAGCCACGTATTAAAGGCACGAACACAAGTCACACTCTGCTCACACAGCTGTTCACTCGAAGTGGGCAGAGCCGGCATCGTCTCAGCCGACAGGGGACTTTAGCTTTGCCGAGGTGAGGAGCTCGGCATCTGCCCCGCCCAACAAGGCCTCACCTTCTCTCATTCTGGGTGATGGTGCCCTTCTCCAGCTTCCCAGCAATGGAGCCCAGCACCTTGCTGGCATCGTTGGCAAAATCCAGGTCCCGAACTTCTGCAGGAGAAACTGGAACAATGGCAAAGGCTTCCTTATCCTCCTTCACGGGAGACGTGCCGATCTGAAACCCAGGACAGCCTACGTGAGACGCTCTCTTAGACTGACAGGGTCACGTTGTGGGCATATTCCTCACGCAGTGGACGCTGGAAAGTCCAAAAAGGCTGACATATCTTACAGTTAAACTCAACCAGACATAAGATGACATCTGGAGGAATGTGTCCCCAAACTGGCATTGTCTCTAGAGAGTAGTGCTGTGAGGAACAGGGGCATTACGGTCACTTAGTCACCTTTTGACTCTGTCTCATGTTGTTATAGGGAGCACGGAAGACTTTACAGAAAATAAAAATTTAATAAATATACACAGAATAGTATGGGAGAAGAGCAATTATTGATTAAGTGGAAAAATACGGGTAAATACCCTATCATTCTTTCAAGTGCTCAATATCACTACAAATGTTTATGGAAAGATAAGTGGGAAACTAACGATAATATAAGAACAAGAGGAAAGGTTAGGTGAAAGTATATAGGAGGAGTTTGTTTTAAAAAAAAAAATCTTGTGATCTTGTGTGTGTTTGTGTGTGTGTGTGTGTGTGTGTGTGTGTGTGTATTTTTCAAGCCTGGGAAGGTGGAAAAGAAAGATGAGGTTTAGGGGCACAGTAAAGAGGCCGGGATTGTGTCTTAACAATGTGTATTTAAACAAAAACCAATAATGGATGGGGAGAAAGTAGAGATATTTGATGTATCTCAGGGCACAAAGCAAACATGCCTCCAGCTAACATCATCCTTCAAACAGACAGACACCTAGACAATTTTTCAGCATCGGGATGGGAGCCAGAGTACGCAATAAGGGTTCTGATGCTTTCAAAAGCCCAGTCGGCTTCACCCGTGTCCCTCAGAGAGAACTCTTTCAGCATGTTCAAGAGGGACTGGAACAGTGTGACTCCACAGCAACAAAACCTCCCCACGCCACACTCCCTGTCTGGCCCCAACCAGCCTTTCCTGTATGAACATGAGACCCGGGTCGGGGCTGGTCAGGCCCAACTCACTTTCAGCATCACAGGCTTCTCTTCCTCCTTGTCAATGGGGATATTTGTGCTGTGAACCCAAGTATTGGTGCACAGGTGTCTGAGGCGGACATAGGAATTCCTGGAGGAGGGAGAAAACCCCATAAGGCAGGACACTTAAGCATTTCTCTACAGCCACCAGTCAAAAAAAAACAGTCTCTTAAAGGAGACAGAGATACTCAAATGGCTTTCTGTTACACAGAGTGGACAATCTCAGCTTAAACACATGGTATTGCTCCAAATGTCATTGGGATGTACTGACAGCAGAAGGTAATTCATAATAACGCTACTGTTAGTGATAATTGTCTTTTTAAAGAAAGACACTCTGTAAGTGAGCCTCTCAGCACACACTCAACAAGGGCAGCGCGACCAGAGTACACACTGTCCAGTACCAGCACTCATGGGCGATAATAAAATGACTACTAAAAATTTCACATAAATCTGCCAAGTGAAAAATGACACTGCTGTAATAAAACCGAGCATAAACCCGTGTTAGGGACAGCTACTTGCAGCATCTGGCAAACACAAAGTTTTACAGTGTCGAGTTTTGTATCTTCTGCATAGTAGAGAAACATGTAATAACAGCATAGTCTACAAAAATGCAAGATTAACAGTAACCTAGAGAAAGAAATAAGTAGCACACCATACAAATAAAGAGTTCTCACAGATCAATAAGAACAATGGGAATATAAGAATAGAAAATGGGAAAGGATAAATACCTGTAATTCACCAAACAAATGCAAGCAATCTGAAAGTGTGGAAGTAGAGATTTTGCCTCTAGTGAAAAGTATATATAAATTGAAGCAATATTTCATTTTGTAGCCCCACACTTCAGAGATTTGACAAATTGATAAAAGTCAAATGTGAACAAGAGCAAAGGAAAGTGAGCTGTGGGTGGAGGGGAGACTCTGCCCAGGAGTCTGGCAGTTTTAAGTGAGCTCTGTTCATTGTCTGTGGATTTGGAGCGGAGACTCTGACGAGGAATCTGACAGTTTTCTAACATGAATGACACATCCCTTCTTCTAGCCAGCAGTCCCATTTTTATGTTTATTTTCCTTACAGGACACTGGCACAGATACAAAATAATGCACAAAGATATTCAACAATTATTTATAATAATGAAAAAATAATCTAATGTTCCATAAGAGGTTAATTAATTACAGTATCTTCAACAGAATATTACACAGTCATTTAAAAGGACAACAACTGTAAGTTTTTTTATTTGGAAATATGTATAAAATGCTTTCCAGAGAGGAAAAAGGCAGTTAAAAAGTAGCACATCATGCTATTGATGAGAAACTTGTCTAAAGTGACATAAATTGTTAACAGTAGTTATCTCTGAATGGTTGGATTTTATAGGTTGGTGGGTTTTTTCTTGTTTGTTCTTTATGAGGTTTTAAAATGCATTTTATTGTTGCTGCAACAATTTCTTTTTACAGTAAATATATAACTCTTTTACAATGTTTCCTATCTAAATATACACATAGCATATGTTAAAGATACTGATGTTGCCTATCTTTAAAAGAACTACTGGGAATAGTGATACAATTCTTACATTTAAGGAAATCTGCTATTTCAGTAGGGACTCTGGTGGCTCATCCCTTATGGTGAGCTACTAGTGAAAACGTTGGCTGTTTGACCCTCCCAGGTGCTCTGTGGAGAAAGATGTGGTAGTCAGATTCTGTAAATATTCTCAAATTCAAAATGCACTGATGTCACGTGGGAAATGACTAGGGACTGGCTATTCAGCAGGTTCTGGACCCTGTAATCCCACAGGAGGGTGTCCAGCTCTGTCCCACAGAGCAGCTGCTGGATTCAAACTGTCTTTGGGTCAGAAATGCCATCCAGGGCAAGCTCTGGTGGCCTAGTGGCAAGAAGCTGCACTGTAATGCCAGAGGTGAGTGGTTCGAATCCACCAGATGCTCTGTTGGAGAAGGAAGGACAATCTCCTTCTGTACCAGTCAGATCTGATTTGACAACACACACACACACACACACACACACACAAAATCGTAGTCTCCAGGGAGAAACTTGGTTTTACCCTCTCCAACTCAGACCTGTTTGTTAACAAAAAAAAAAGAAAGAAATGCCATCCAAGCGCCCTCCATAAGTCTCACGGTCACCAGCCTTGACAATCCTGTGGCTAGTTTTGCTCTGCCCAGCAGACCACTGTGAAGTAGCATCAACTCGAGGGTGTGCACTTGGCTTTGTCCCACCACCACAAGATAAATGCATGTCAAGCAAGTGACAAGAGGAAAATAATGAGCATCACATTGGGAGATGGTCAGAGGCCACCGCCCCGGAGATGGAGAAGGCTGTGGGAGGCTTCTGTGACAGAAGCACCCTGAGCAGGAACTTCAAAGAGGAGCCCAGAAGTCACTCGTATGAGAAGATTTCAGAACAGGGGAGCCCACGCTCAGGAGAAAGGACGGTCAGGAGAAGGGTGTCTGAGTGGTATGTCCTTCACCCTCCTCCGGGACTGCCTAAGACAGCAAGATGAGGAGAGGACACCCTTAGGGCTATTATTTCTGGGAGTAAAGGGAGCTCTGATGGCCCAGTGGCAAGAGGTTGCTCTCCAATCTCAAAGGCACACAGTTCGAGGCCACCAGCTGCTCTGTGGGAGAAGGACAGGCAATCTCCTCCTCCTAACCGCCTCTGAAACCCACTGGAGCGTCAGCTATGGGTCGGTTCCGACTCAACAGTACACAACAACAGATGACTATACATTAAACAACATGAACAAAGTAACTGACAAAGATATTTACATTTTTTCCTCTCTGAACAATGGGATTTCTTCCCTTTCTTCTGAAGCACAACCAAAGCTTGGAGTTTTGCATTTGATTGTTGGTTTATAGTCTATACTGCATTTCAGTTTAGCATTGAAGGGCTCTCTATCATTCTATCATCTAAGTCACAAAAGACACTGCATCAATTCATCTAAAGTACCATTTCCAGGCTTTAACTGGAAAGTCAGGACAGAGGATAATCCAGAAAGAGATACAGAAGTGACAGGACCACTTAATGTCCATTTAATGCCTCTAAGTTACTTATACTGTCATTTTATTACCTTGCTTGACCAATCCAGTGTTTGGTACTGTTCCTTTTACATTGGCTTTTAATAAGATGCTTTTAAACAGTCACTATCAAGGAAATTTCTTGATTGTTCACATTTCCTACATATGTCTACCCCTAGGCTTACTGATCTTCAAACTAGCAAATTTAGGGCAACTTTAAATGGAAGGACTTGAGTTTTTCACAAGGCTTTTTACAACTTCACAGAATCAAGCAAAGTGAGGTCACTTTTGCTTCTGGCTTAAAGCTAATGGCCCAGACTCATCACAATTTAAAAGTGAAGTAATAAACGCTACCCAGCAGACCACACCGAGTGCTGTTTACAGAGTGGACAGGAGGTTCCCTGGCTGGTCCACTGTTCACTTGTCGACTACCGTCCACAGGGGCAGCTTGCAATCAAAGACGCGGCAATGAATGTAAGAGAGAGACACTGAGGGCTCCAATCAGGTGACCCGGAAACTTTTGTCTTCTCTTCCTTCCAGAGGAGGGGATTTCCAATCTCCTGGGGAGCGGGCCCAGGAGACTCCCATGAAGGACCATCTGACACAACAAGTGATACTTCAAGTCACACTGTGTCACCCTTCTCCATCCCTACAACCCTAAGCATTCAGCCCATAATGTAAATGACATCCCCTCACCTTCTGACAACATCTGTTAAATAAGGTCCAGAGCAGAAGGCACAAAATAGGGAAATTCAGTGAATGGAAACGCAATTGGAACCTACAGAGCAGGACCTATCTAGGCATATGCGAGCAGCTGAAGAGAAAGGCAGCTTCTAAAAATCAGTTTCTCCCACCTCAGACTATATTTTTTAAAAAAACTCCTCAAAGGGGATCAACAGCTTAAAGGCAAGCACGAAAAATATAAAATCTTAAAAGGCAGGCATGTATCTGTGTGAACTTGTGATTGACAAGAGTTTTTTAGACATGAAACCAAAACTCACAAACCGCTAATGGAAAAAAGGGATCAGCACTTTTGTCCTTGGGAGAAACACCACAAAGAAAGTAAAAAGACAATACACGTGGTGGAAGGAGATACTCTCAAAGCAAGTATCTGCTAAGGGACTTCAATCCTGGAAAGATAAGGAAGCCAGTTTTCAGAATGGTTTGGAAAGAATCTTACTAGACATTTCTCCAAAGAAGATACAGAAATGACTAATACATACACAGAGAGACGGTCAGCATTCACTAGCAGGGAAGCAGGAGCACACTAGCATGCCCACACAGGCGGGAAGCCAGACAGACACCAACATGGAGAAATCAGAACCCTCATACGCTGCTGGGGACTGTAAAACGGTGCAGCCACTGGGAAAACGGCATGGGAGTTCCTCAAAGGCTTAAGCAGGCAATTCCACCTTCGAGGTATGCACCAAAAAGAAATGAAACCATAGTCAATACAAAAACATATAGATACACACACACACACACACACACACACACACACACACACACACACACACACAGTCGGCATTATTGGGAATAGCCAATGGGGGCGGGGAACTCACACATTTACAAACTGATAAAGGATAATAAAACATGGTGCATCCATAAAATAGATTATTCTTCAGCAGTTAACAAGAAAGAAAATGCTGGCACATGCAACAGGATGAACCTTCAATACATTACGCTGAGTGCCCTGCAAGAGGCCACATCACAGAAGACCATCGATCCATGGATCTCCTTACCTGTGATGACCACACAGGCAGGTCGAGCGAGGCACTGCCCGCTTTCTGTCTCTGCTGTGAGACTCACTGACCTGTGTTATTGTTGGGTGCCGTCAAGTCCCTACATGCAGAGTAACCCTAGGAGTAGCAAACGTGGACCCTGCCATGCTGAACCATCCTCATCTTCTCTGCTGTATCTGAGCCCACCGTTAGAAGTCATGTGTCAAGTCACCTTATTGAGGGGCTTCTTCTCTTCTGCTGACTTTCCACCATCCCATGAATGATGTTCTTTCCCAATAACAATCTGGGAGAGGTCATTTAAACACTAATCCTCAGTGCATTCATCTGTTCATCACAGGGCCTTACGGGTGTGTGTGAAGACTAAATCAGATGAAAGGACTTCACAATGTGACCAACACAGAGCCAGCATTCAAGAAATAGGAGCCATTAGTAGCATCAATAATGGTAATTTGTGGTTCAAAATGAACATTGTTTCCTGTATCGTCTAGTCAATTCTCAAGAAATGCATTCCTATGCAACAAATCTAAGAGTCAAGGTTAATAAAAAAAGCAAAGAATACAAGCCTGACTTTTATTATGCAGAGTGGAATATTAGAAAGTTCTCATTCCAGAATACCTTTTCAATGAACCAGGCATTCAAAGAACCAGGTCTTGGGGGCAGGGAGGGGGTGTTGAAGGTGCCAGAAATATGAAGCTCCTTGAGCTTTTGCTATGTTCTCCAACATCACCACTCCTTATCCAAGTTCTAACAAACTTAATAGCTGATTCACCAGATTAAAATCCAATTCCTGTTGGCAGCCACCCCAGGTCTATCCTGGAAAACGTCATCAGAGAGACCATCATGGTGTATGTTTGCGGCCGGCAGCCATCACATCCACCCTGACCCCCCTAGGAGAAGCCCCCCCCCCAGGTGCCGAGGATCCCACGTGGGTTTCGGCAGCACCCACCTTCCGGCAGCACCACAGCAAGCCTGACTGGGTTCCCAAGTGGGTTTGAACTGCCAGCCACCTGGCTAGTGCTTCAGTATTTAAGCATTTGTACAGCCAGGGACACCAAGGAGCTCAGCCAGGGACACCTACCAGCCTTGGTCTGGGGATAAGCATTCTGAAAGCCGTTACCTTGGGACAAGGCTGTCACCTCCACGCAGCGTGGTGGGGTCAAGCTCGAAAATGGAGGAGATGTCATTGCCCTCGGGCACGGAGACCAGCGAGTACACCATCTTCTCCTGGGCGTTCCGCAGCCGACTTCGAGACGCATCCTGATCCGGGTCCACCTGGAGGAGAGGCCCTCGACTCAGAGGCCTGTGTACCGAGCCTGTCCCTTGGTGAGGTCAGCCACAGTCCACGGGACGAGAGGAGGCCGGCACTACAGGCCCTGAGCTGGGACCTGGGGTGACAACGGGCCACCAGGACCAACAGTATTTCTGCTCTATCACCTTAGGTTGCAATAAAGAGACATTTGAGCAATTTCGGATTGTCAAAATAGTTTCCATGAAAAGTGATAAAAACTTATAAAGAATCTAGTGTGGCTATGACCATCTGCAGGAAGTGGGCAAAGCATGGGGAAAGCTGGACTGTGACTTGTTGAGTTTTGTCGCTCTACAGAGATAACAGCCACCGTGCAGCGCTGTACCACTCGCTCTGAGGACAGAGAAGTCCAGCAACCAACCATCAATGCTGTGGACAATCGATGACCCCAGTGGGGCCTCTGAGAAATCAGAACATCCCTGAGAAGAAGGCCCGCAGGAGCCACAGAGGCTGCTGAGGACCGTCCGGGGCACTGGCCTCCCCAGGACCTTGGGGGCGGGGCTCTGAGATGGCAGGCCTCTGACGGCAAAGCTGCTGAGCAGGAAGGAGGCAGTCCATGTCCACTACACACGCTGCGGGCACTGTGGGACAGTGGTCACAGCCACCTCAGGGTGGGCACGGTGAGCCCAAGCTCCAGGCACGGACAACGCACAGCGCTACTGAGCACGGGAAGCTGTGCGGTGGATGGTGGTAACTATGAGGGGACACGGCGCACACCTTCCTTCCGGGAGAACAGGTAAATCTAAACGTTGACATCCCCTGGGGGCTCCTACACACACCATCCACCCGCTCAGAACTCTGAAGACAATTTGTCTTCCTAACTCCTGGCCCCTGGTAAAGCGTTCCCTCTCAGAGTCGACACTGTCCTGCATTTGGTTTGGGACACAGGGCTGGCAAGTAAATGTTAAAGACCTGCAGAAATCCTAGGGAATTCTCAGAACTGCCTGCTGGTCCTTGAGCGGCTCCAATGCAGAGAGCACAGTCTGTGGCCGCCACCTAGTGAGTGGAAAGGAACACAGCAGAAGGGCCTCAAACCTGGGTGACCTCCAAGTGGCTGGAGGCTGTGGCTGAATTCAGGATGGTCACCACAGGCTGAGTGAGGTCTCGCAGAAGGTCTGACCAAGCCACATTTTGGAAGCCAAACTGAGTGTGCAAGGTATGTTTTGTAAACAGAATACAATAGTGAGTTAAGAGAAGAGGAACAGCACAGGCCTCAGCAGGAGCGCCGATGACAGTGTCTCCAGCACTCCTCCATGCACTCACCCACCGAAGCCCTCAGTCACTGCTCTGAGCGTCTCTCCAGGCTAAGGACACTCCACCCCGGCTGAGCTGGGAAGCTGGCTGAATCCACAGCACACAGCAGATTCTGTTACATTTTGTATTATCTTAACCCTAACTCCCTCCACGAGTGTGCCCATTCTAATGAGCTTCCAAAAGGGAGCATTTTGTTAAATATCTGTTAAAGTAGAAAAAGGCAACAGTAGGTGACCTCAGCGCTGTATGCCTGCTCCCCTTCTGAGACACAATCTCAGAGAGAGAGCAACCCGAGTTTTGTTTTCGTTTCTAAAATCTTACAACAGAGCCACACACTGCACAGGAGAAGCTCTTTGTTTATACCCACCTTTTCCACATCCTTCACTCCCTAACAACCAACACCCAAACACCATGGGCCAATGCCCACAGAAAGGTGCACCTGGAGTTGGGATTCCAAGCCACCCTACACACACACACACACACACACACACACACACCCCAATTTCCAACTCTGCAGTAAGCAAGGCTAATGGTCAATCAACAGGGCGCCACATCTGCGGTCAGGGGTGCTGTTTCCTAGAAGACCTTCGCAGACTAAGCGACGTCCTCCACCGTGCACTCACTCTCTCCTTGAAAAATCTGAGGGAGTCATCACCAAGGTCAACAATGGGACAAGACCTTCTATTAGCGCCACTGTCTCCACCTTGGAGCGGTCACAAGACTCCCTGAACATCTCCAACCTTGATGAGGAGACTCCTTGACTGAGCACAGAAAGCATATCATGGAAAAGGCTCCTTCGCGCTCATGAGGATGCAGGAGAGGTGGCCATTCCCAGAGAGACCAGGAGTGAGGGCTCCTTATGCAGGGGAGGCCCCTTCTCGACGCTCGTCCCATCACAGACCACGTGGCCTCAAACTGCCAGACAACACCACACGGCTCTGTCCATCTTTGTCACTTTACACAGACCATGTGGCCTCGGTCTGCCAGACACCACCACACGGCTCTGTCCCCAGTCAATTCACACAGAGCACATGGCCTCGCTCTGTCCGATGACACTGCACAGCTCTGTCCCCAGTATCTATCACTTCACACAGACCACGTGGCCTCACTTTGCCAGATGACATCACACGGCTCTATCCCTGTATTTGTCACTTGACACAGACCATGTGGCCTTGCTCTGCCAGATGACCACGCTCCTCTGCCCGTGGTATTTGTCCTTTTACACAGACTATGTGTCTTTGCTTCATCAGATGACACCACAAGACTCTGTCCCATACTTACTGAGGGCTGAAACTCCAGGCATTCCTCCTCAAAGTCAGGGTCTTCCTAATGAAAAAGAATCGTTAGGAAATTAAAACATCGGTTGCTTTCTCGAGAATTTGGCCCCGCTTAAAGACAACTTCACAGCCTGCACACATCTCTGAACAGCTACGAACACTTCCCTTCCCGGTCATCAAACCAGCATGCCACAGTAACACACAGCACACAAGCACAGTACACACGTGACGGTTCACCAGGACCAGCAGACGGCGCTTGAGTACAAGCAGGAACACAGCAGATAAACTGGTAAAGCAACAGTGCAAGGTCACAGTCACGGACAAGCCTGCTTTTTTTGGGTGAAAAATTTAAGGTCTCCAGCAAGAATCTTTTTTGCCTCAGGACATGATATAATGCAACCACCACAGATCTTCAGCAACTGGGCGTCAACATTCATCCCGGCTGGTTAGCTGGGTCTGTAATGCCCTGCGGCTCCAGTTACAATTTCAACTTAGACTTCTTGATCTTCAGGGCTTAAATATTTTAAATCATCAGCTCCTACAAGCATCAGACATCGCAGGGAGCAGGCATATCAAGATCCTGCACCCTCGGATCCTGATACCACTTGGCACCTTGAAAAGCTCTGAGAAGCACCATCAGACAATAGGGGAACCCTCTGACGGAAGACTAGACCCTGGTAGGATCATGCCACGCTGTCTTCCAGCACTTCAGAGCAATGCTCAACATGTCACACAGCAGGAAGGTTTGTTAATTTAACAAAGAAAAGGCACAGTCCTCTGTCAGCAATTAGTCCTTCTTTACCTTAAAAGAAACCTTACACACACATTTAAGGTAAGTTCTTTGATTCTGATCATCTTATAAGAAAAAGGGAAGCCTCTGTCTACTCCACGATGCCCCAAGGGACCAGATTTCCATGTAAGATCACTTAGCTCTTCCCGCATCCTGGGCCTTCTGGTGCCCACGTGCCATGTTCCTACCCAGTCATGCTGCGGTCCTTTATGTTACCACCAGAGCTAGTACTTAAGATATGGGGAAAGCAGCACCACGAAAATAATTCCAAAAACCCACATTAGGGATATTTTTTAACTTACTTTCTCCCCAGATCTTTATCAGAGCCCCTGGCACGCAGCCAGCAGTGAATCTTTTCTACCTCTTTTCCTACGTCAATCTATGTTACTGACGTGAGCTGACTCGGGGACTCGATGTGTCAGAACAGCTGGGCTCCCTGGGTTTCTGGTGGCGGATTTTTCCAAAGCAGACAGCCAGGCCTTTCTCCAAGATGCCCCTGGTGGACTTGAACCTGGGACCTTTCAGGTAGGAGCTGAGCCTTATTAATCATTTGTCCCACCCAGGGTCTCCCTGTTTCTCCATGACAGGAAATCTCAGCCAGACAGAACAGGACAGCAAAGGAAGAATCACAATGAGCGGAGTGTGGTCCTGAGTGTCGACCTCTCCTCGCCAGAGTGAGGGAAGGAAGCAGGTGCACCAGCCTCGGCGGGGGGAACCAGGGCTGTGACTCACCTCCGCTGCTAAGTAGTGTCCTGTCGCCAGGTGCTTGAAACGGAAGAGGCTGTTCCAGTACCCTGCGCCACCCCGACATGGGTCATGCTGAACCACCTGCAAGAGGACCAGCGAAACATCAGCACCCCCAGAGGGACACAGGGTGTCCTTAGCTAGGTCACATGAGAACCAGACATTAGAGGAGTTGAGTAATGTGCCCCAGGTATAGCAGCGTTTCTACGAAGTAGCACTGGTTCAGAGGGAACATCCTCGCCTTCCGTGAGCAAGAACCAGGTGTCACTCCCAGCAGAAGCACCTCCCACATCACCATCAGAGGCCGCTCCCAGCAGGAGCACCTCCCACATCACCATCACCCATTTCTCTGCAGGCCTGAATGTTGCTAAGAAGCTGAGGAAAATTTAGCAGCGCTTTCTGACTAACACAGACTAGAAAGAAAGAGCTGCCAACCTGCTTCCCCTGTGGGGTCGCCATGGGTCAGGCGTCGGATGACGGCCAGCAACAAGCTGATGGAAAACAAGGGACTGAATCTGCCTTAGTCAGAGCGGGAGGGGAGTCGGAACTTGACCCCTAGAAACCACGACCAAGAGTTAAGAAAAAGAACCCACAGAAAGCAGCGAAGCAATCCACGCATGAAGCTGGTGCTGGGACACACACCAGCCGGCGTGCCGAGACCGGAACCTGCAGCCTGTGTCAGTCTACCACCAAATAAACGCAACTTTACCCCGGGCAGAATGTGTCACTGGAGCGGGGGTTGGTGCCGTGAACAATTAGAAATGGATAGAGCCTATGAAACCGCTACAGAAAATCCAAAATCTGGGTAAGAGAGCAAGCAGCCAAGTTCAGACATCAGGCGTGCAGCTCAAGTCACAGGGACAAGACAATGACCCAGAGCCCGTGGCCACCGTGGTGTCAGCCTGGAGGCCCTGTCTGAGCGAATGCAGAGGAAGGAGAACTCAGGCCGGGCCCACGGCTCACGAAGCCGGGGAGATGACGCTAGTGCCCAGAGCTCAGGGTGCCAAGGATTCTCGGGACAGTGTTGACAGAGGAAACAGACAGAAAACCAGCTCCAGAACCTTCACAGGGGATCCCCGGTGTCTCTGGTTAAACACTAAGCGACATGTGAAGCCCTACAGGCCACATTAAAAGCAGTTCAGGGGAGCTGTGAGTTCACCCGGGCCTGGGAGGCCCTGATTGTGATGCCCCAGAGTAAAGGGACCCTATACTTGGTACACTCACTAAACTCAGGCCCGGTAGGCCCTGATTGTGACCCCCCAGAGTAGAAGGACCCTATACTGTCAATAGAGACATCAAAAAAAGGCCACACCTCAGAAGCAGGGTTAAGGCAGGCATGCTACAAAGGAAACGCTACATTGCACTCACAGTTGTTGTTGTTATGTGCTGTCAAGTCACCTGCGATTCATAGCAACCCTCTGCACAAGAGCTCTGAAGCCTGTCCTGTCCTGAGCCAGTCTCACTGACTCCAATACACCTACCCCCACTGCCCAAGTTATTGTATCAATCCATCTCATCTGGGGTCTTCCTCTCCTGCACTCTCCCTCCACCCTTCTGAGCATGATGTCCTTTTCCAAGGATCAGTCCCTCCTCAACACGTGCCCAAAGAATGCTGAGACAGAGCTTCAAAATTCTAGCCTCCAAGGAGAAACTTGGTTTCACTCTCTCCAAGACAGACCTATTCGTTTTCTTGGCGGTCCATGACATGTGAAAGACTCTTCTCTAGCACCACAATTCCAAAGCATCAATTTTTCTTCTATCCTCCTTAGTCATTCTCCAGCTCTCTGATGCATAACAAATAATTGTGAAGATGATAAACTCTATCAGGTGGACCTTAGTCTCTAGACTGACATCGTTGCTTCTCAGTACTCTGAAAAAGTCCCTGACAGGAGATTTACTTAATGCAATTGTTGTTGTTGTTAAGTGCTGTCAAGTCAAGCCTGGCTCATAGTGACCCTATGTACAAAAGACCTTAACCCTGTTCTATAACTATTGCCACTTCTCTAAGTTCATAGAGTTCCCAGAGGCATGTTTAGGAAGTGGATGGCATTCTTGCTTCCAAGCCTGTCTTAACCTGTGCATGCCACCAGACACCGTCAACCGTGTGTAACCATTATAGCATTTGACACACTAATGGCACACCGTTCAGTAGCACAGCAATCCCAAGTTACCTGAGTATAGAAAATGACCAAGTAGTGCTGTACTACTTAGGTCAATGTTCATTTCAAACACAAGTAACACCAGGCCCTTGGGCCCAAATGAATTTTAAAAAACCCCAGGCCTGCACACCAGGCTCTCACTGGCTCTAACAAGAGGCTTCTAGCTTACAGCTCACTACCAACCAACCAGTCCACAGTCAACCTTCATCCAAGACAGGAAGAACTCACATTTCTAAAGCCAAGGGCTACACACATGTACCTTCAGCTAAAGACTCAGTCTCAAATGAATTTTAAAAACCCCCGGCCTGTGCACCAGGCTCTCACTGGCTCTAAGAAGAAGCTTCCAGCCTAATTCAATTAGCCTCTTGATTTCCTGGCTGCTGGTGCCTAAAGTGTTGACCGTGGAGCCGAGCAAGCTGTAACTGTTAACAACCTCAATCTCTTCTCCATCCATCATGGCGCTTCCAGTTGACCCAGTGGTGAGCATCTTTGTCTTCTTGATGTTGAACTTCAGTCCATAATGAAGACTACAGTCCTTGGCCCTTTTGCAGCAAGTGCTTTAGGTCCTCATCGTGTATCCTCAGCTCGAGCCCATGGCTAGTCACCGTGTCAACCCATTTTCCTCTACTTGGAACTTACTCCCATAAAGGATCTCAATACATTTGTGGAGCAGCTCAGGTCTCTGTGCCCGGACATGATTTACTCCTATAAACTCTGGAGCCTCCCCCAACTCCCTCTTACCTCCACCTCCCACAGGGCTTTGGAACTGGTGGCCGAGGTGGCCGACTGCCGGCCAGTGGTCCTCAGGAACACATGCTGCTTCTTTCTGTGCTCATCACAGGTCAGAAACTTCTCCTGCTCTGCGTGGAACAAACGCACCACGTCGCCCTGCAAGTCGGCACAAGGAGGGCGTCAGACACAGGTGTACAGAGCCAGCCGGAGGCTCGGGAGCCACCAGGTGCCACCTGTCCACCAAGCGCAAACTTACCCCCTTCAGTATGTCGTCTTTGTTATCATTCCACTTCATGAAAAGGACAATTTTCCAGCTCGTATTGCAGTTGACAGAATTGACCTGGAAAACCAATCAGAACTGTGGTTACTTCAGCTGCCCGCAATCACAACTGTGCCAGCCAGTCACCAAGGTCCACTAGAGGCCACAGAGGAAGGCCACATGCAGCCCCAAACCCTCAAGGTGGATACCAAGGTCACAGGGCCTACGGACCCAAGAGGCCTGTTCACAGCATTTGGTAACAAGCGGTTCCCTTAGCACCAGACACTGTGGATGCTCCAGCGATGACGAAAGGAACACGCTTCCTGTGCTTCTGGAAGCAAGATTTTCTTTCCCTCAAGGTTCCTTGTTCAGTAGCCAGGAAATAAAGACCTAACGAAATCAAGTGCTTATAAAACGGGGTCCGTTACAAAGTGAAAAAGGAGTCCAGGGTGTGGATTTCCCATGTGCGTGACAATCAGCACAGCAGCAGGCCCGGAGTGCTGAGTGTCAGTGGGCAGCCGGCTGAGTACAAATCCAGGACCTGTTAGTCCTCAGTGAGCCCTGAAAACAGGCACGGCCATCACCCCATTTCACACAGGGACATTGAGGCAGGGCACTGGTAATGACGGCTGGAGAGCTTGGAGCTGGCAGAGCTGGGATTGGAATCAGCTTCACAATAGGGCAAGGATTTCCGTCACCGGCATGTTAACCCAGCAGAGTTACCTGCAGCGGCTGAGAGGCGTGTTCCCACAAGTAAGGCATTGCCTGGCCAGGGCTGCTGACAGCTAGAAGCACACCGTGTGTGTGTGATTTCTTAAGTGATATTCATTTACTTGATTTTTATTTGAGCAAAAGTTGACAAAGTATTGGTTTTCCAGTCATTCGTGGTCATTTGGTTTTACATTACAACTGAGAGGAATTGTTTTGTACTGTAACTTTGGAACTGACCCATAGCTGACCCTCCAGTGGGTTTTCAGAGGCATTTAATTACACAGGAGGAGTCTGCCCATCCTTCTTCCAGGGAGCAGCTGGTGGATTTGAACCACGTGCCTTCATGATTGCAGTGCAGCTTCTTGCTACTAGGTCACCAGTGCACATTACAGTTTATTAAAGTAATTAATCACAATGGCTAATCAATCCCTTACTGGTTATGCCTTTGCCATTACACAGCCTATCCCTTCATTAATTCTGCTTCCCTTCACCCCTTCCATCCCTGTTCATCCTCTCAAACTCATTCCGTGTGTGAAACTTTCCTCAGCTTTGTCTACTACAGGTCTTACACCGTAACTGTCCTTTTGTGACTGACTGACGCAGTCTGTCCTACTTTCATCCACGCTGTCGAACGACGTATTCTCGGTGCTCACTGGTGATGCACAGACCCCACTGCATGTGACTTACCACAGTTTCTTTAGCCATCAACCATCAATGGATAATCGGCTTGTGTCTAACTGTTTTGGTAAGGAAGCCCACAATCACCGTGGCTGTGAGCGTGTCTGTGCGGCAGCTCTTTTCAAAGCATACCTTTGTTAGGAATTAGGAAAAGGCACCAGGATTACGTAGAAAAGTAGAATAATGTGTCCCTCTGGCCAGTAAAATGTGGTCCCAGGTCCTCAGCAAATAAAAAAGTCAGGAAATTTCCCCAGCTCGGTGGCCAGAGCTTAGAAAGCAGACGCGGATCAGCCTCACCTGTGAGCCGCAGTGCAGACCCGCACAGCCGAGCACTGAAGCCCTGACTCTGGGCTCAGCTTCCTCATCTGCAGGACTGGCACACAGCTCTCCAAGTCACTGCTGCAATCCCTGTCAGGATGCCCAAGCTCTAGGCCCAAGAAGGATTTTTTTCTTGCTGAAAATGTCATCTATTTGCAGACTTTGATTTTTCTCACCTCATTGCAGCCTGGGTTATCCACCAGCTGATGGCTGCTGGCATGGAGGGGCTGGCCGGCATTGACGGGGTTCAGAACAACCTTGTCACCTATCACCACCTGGAAAGGACCAAGGGAGCATGTCACAAGGCAGACCAGGAGGATGAGCACAGTCCAGACGGGGAGAAACCGAGGGCTGTGCACTGAAGACCCACCGTCTAGCAGATAAAGGGAGGTACATCATTTAAAGCTTGGCTCTGTATGGGGAGAGGTGAGCAGACAAGGCCAAGGGCTAATACAGGTCCCAGAGTCATGATTCATTACACGCAGATGTTTTCAATAGCAGCCCAAAGCAGAGTGCAAAAATCTCACCTTTACAGAACCCAGGAAAGGCACTCTTATCAATAAACTCTAACTTTATGCTTGTTAATAAAATTTTAATTGTGATTTTTATGAACATCTACAGAGAAGTCAGATTTTCATTCATTCATTCTTTCACATTTTACCCCCTGCCCTCCCTTCCCTCTCTCCAAGTTCATTGTTTTTTAAAAAAATATGAATTCATTATTGCTTATTTACCTACCTCCTTCAGCCCCCAGTCCTTTTTGCAATGATTTATCTCTTCTTTTGGGCTGTTATTGTATGTGTAATGCCTAATTATCTATTCATTTTAGACAGTTCTTTCTTTCAAAGAGAGGGAAACAACCCAAGTGGCCATCAAATGAACGAATGGAAAAATTATGGCATATTCATACAATGGAATACTACACAGCACTGAAAAACAATGACCTCCTAAAACATTACACAACATAGGGGGCCCTGGTGCACCATCACACTGAGTGAAATAGTTCAGTCACAAAAGGACAAATATTACATAGCTGCACTGTTAAAAAGCAGGTCTGACATGGGGGTTTGGGAGGAGAATAGAACAAGAGTGGATAAATAATGGCCACTGCATTGGAACAGATGAAAAAACTGTCTAACTTAATTTAAGAATAGAAGCAAGTTACTGCCTGAGTTAAGTCTTCAACTTTGGAAAAATAAAGCCATGATCTTATCTTCCTAAAACAGCAATTTTTGTATGTTCTAACTGTGACTGTTAGTACCGGTGAGCAAGAGCTGACTCACAGCTGACCCTCCAGGGTTTTTCAGAGGCAGTAAATCACATAGGAAGAAAATGCCCCTCCTTCTGCAAAGCCGCTGGTGGATTCGAACCATGTGCCTTCAGGCTGGCAGTGAACTCCTTACCACTGGGCCACTAGAGCGCTCTACTCTGAGTACAACTGACATCTGTCTAACAGCGAGTATTGTCTACTCTTGCTTTTTTAAAAAATGGCAGTCACAAGCCACTAACCTGATTTCACGGCCCACATTGGGATAAAGTCGAAAATGGGAAAACTTTGACAAAGGCTAACTGGTCAAGCCCATCTTCCTTTCTCAATAAAGTCACAGTTAACAGATTCATTTAAAGGACAGGAAAAGTACTGGGTTTACTGAAGAGAAAAGCCAGAACCAGGTTCAACTGTTGGTTGTTTTTTAAATTATAAAAGGGGAGTGGTGAGGGGATTTCCTAACTTGTACAATCACTGATTTTCAACGAGAGCGTCTGGGAGATAGATAGAACTGTTTTTCAAACTGCAAATGAATAGAGAAGGTAAAGATTTCAATCAAGAAGGCTCAATTTATACAAATTTTATGACCTTTGTATGTAAACCAATACAAAATAATAATAAAAAGAGAAGGTTCAACATGACTGGACTTTTCTGTTTCAGTATCAGTATTTCCAGTGCACCAAGGCTGTGAGAGAGGTGCACAGGAGGTGCTTCCGGGACCTGCATCTCTCTCCCTCCCTCTCTCTCTCTCTCTCTCTCTCTCTCACACACACACACACACACACACACACACACACACACACACACACCCCAAGCTCACACAGAGACGGCTCAACGCTGACAAACCTCAGTGACGACACTGGAAACGAGCAAGGGTTTGCATCAGATTAACCATCTGGAGAAGATTAAGGCGTATATTTCTTTTCAGTAAAAAGAAACCGTTTCAGAATCCTAACAAAGTCTGTAGCTCCTAGCACTTATGAGTATTCACAGTCACGTATGTACCCACCTCACGGCTTCCTAGTCTAGCTAACGCACGGCATCCGGCCACGCCGACCCCATGGGTGAGGGATCGACTTCAGGGGTGGGGACAGGCTGGAGGGTCTGTGAGTGCATCAGCAGATGAGCCTAGAGGGCAGTCCCAAGAGCCACTCTCTTCCCTGTGATGTCTGCGAGGTTCCTGCTCGCCCTCCTTTACTACGAGTCAGGGGGTTATTCAGAGAACAGAAAGGGACTTCTACGGCATTAGTGAACGGAGAAGGAAGGATACTCGCTGGAACATTAATAATGTGTGAAGGATGTTTCAGAGGAAATGTACTGAGGTAATGGGATCTTCATATGTTTTTTGTTCAAAGGCCTAATAGGAACAACACTGCTTTTGTATTTAAGTCACACTAGTGTCCAATTCTCCTTGTTTCCCAAACACCCGTTTCCATAGTGATTCTCTCCTCTCCATCCAGTCTAAACCCCTGGTTCCAACCAGCTGATCCCACAGCTGACTGCAACATCTAGTGACGGCCGCAGGCCATTTTACCTTCTCCACTGAGTCACAGCTGAACAGATTCATTACAGGACGGGAAAGCTCAGGGCCGGAGACCTGCCTGGCTGGCACTTACGCTGTCGCCAATGGACCGCAGTTTGTAGAAAGGCTGAATATAAAACCAGGAGCCTTCGTTCCCGGCCTCGTCCAGCGTCACCCGCATGGCGTTCTTCTCCAGCAGGGCTGGAAGCCTCTTGTTCACAGTCAGGTATTTATTACTTTTCAGGTGCAGGAGCTGGAAGTCCACAGGAGAACAAGGTGAGAGTCGGTAAGTCTGAATTCCCCACCACTGCTCTCAGTCACATCAAATATGGATCAAACGTTCGTCCTACCACCAGCTTCTGAGGAGGAAGGCTGCCCCTCCCCAGCTGCCTACAGCTGGACATCACCAAGAACGAAGAGTGTGGCGAGGGGTAGGAGGAGGCAGAGGAGAAAAAGGTTTTCTTTCCTCCCAGCGTGGCTTTGAACGACGTGATGGGCAAGGCCATGCTGGTGGGCAGGACTCAACAACGGGGACAAGGACGAAGGAATACAGTCCACACAGTCCTTGACATCCAGGCGGAGCTAAGGCCGGGCAGGAGGAAGCCTCTGGATAACAGCGTGGGGCGGCCGTTCTAGGTCTGTCATTTCACTAGAGAGAACAAGACTTCCCAAGCAATTAACTCTTGATCTTGGACAGCAGTTATGGAAGAAGAGAAGAGGCTGGAGCTTGGGATGGGGAACAACCTGTCGGACAGCAGGTCTGGATCAGGGAGCTGGTCAAGGATTCCTACCTCAACAGGCTGTGAGGGGAGAGAGAAGTGAGACGAGAGAGTGCCCAGTCCTGGGAGAGGAAACAGCAGCGTGGGCTCTAGTGCTAAACGCCAGCACCTCTGTTTTCCCTGATGCCAGATTCAGCTCTCGAACAATCTCTGGAGACTCCCACGATGTCCAGCGTGGTTGCTGGAGGTAGTGGGGCGCCTCGTCTGATTCAGGAGTCTGCCACCCCCTGGACATGACCGGCCCCCTTTCCAAGCCTTACAGTTACAGTCCCACTCAGAACTGGGCTAGTGCACCCTGCACCCATCCGCGTGCTGGACACAGGGCTGTCCAGTACACCAGCTTTACCTACAAGAGGGCCCCAGGGTTGAGGCTTGGGGAAGTACTGATGACTTTGCCCAGGTCATTGCACACAGAGGTTACTCTGTGATATGTGTTTCTCAATCACCCTAAGAAACTTGTATCACTCACCATTCTGCTAGCCAGAAAACTGAAGCATGACAAGATTTCTCGAAAGCCTTCTAAGAGTGTGTTCTTAACTCTTTTTCCCCTCTTTCTTTTTCAGTTCAAACTATATTCCTCAATTAAGCAAAATCTAGTGCTTACAGAATGTGTTTCAGGGCCCCAGCCTGGCCCATTAATAAAGCTAGTATGTTGATCCATCTAGCCTCTGGGGTCCATTCTTAACTGGACAGAACTTGAGGGAGGGGGATAGGAAATGAGGCCAGCTGGCATGATCAAAATTCAAAAAGATTTGGGGGACTACTATCATTATTTCAAAAGGCCAAATAAATAGCTCTGGGTGCAATCCTTGGAGAATTCTGCTGCTAACCCAAAGGCCACATTAATCTGGTGGTTCAAATTCACTCGCCAGCCGCTTCACACGGCAAAGAAGGTCAATCCCTCCTCATGTGATTTACAACCTCCAAAACCCCACTGGGCAGCAAGCTATGGAGAGGTTCCACCTCAGGGCAGTAGGCTTCACTATTAAGAGCTCTGCTGGTGCACACGGACGTGCACTGGTAAGTCAACGTCGACGCTTCTCTGGTGGTTCAAATCCACTGTCGTATCAGTGAGAGACTAGCTCACGTCTATCTGATGAGAGAACGGACCATGTCTATCTGGTGACAGAATGGACCATGTCTATCTGATAAGAGAACCGGACCATGTCTATCTGGTAAAGGGTCAAATCGAGAGGTGCCAAATTTGGTATCCGGCTTCCTCAAGCTGAGATGGACCCAAGAAGACCCAAGCTAAGCTCAAGGCAGCTGCTGCCCAGAGTTCCTCTAGCTTCCTGCAGACCTGAAAGCATGAAGGAGAGGTGGGGAAGCAAACACCACAAGTTGTGGGAAAGGGCTGGGAACCATCACATATCTCTTATCAGGAGGTCAGACCAACAGCTGCTGACCAAACACAGAAGGAACACTGGAGCTGATTTCCAGTAACAAGGAACCTTTCACAGAAGACACACAAGGTCACGAGACAGGAGGGCAACAAGCATGACATAACCCTTCATTAAAACAATAATAAATGTGAATCTCCAAGCAGATACACAGGCAAACAGGCAAGACAGACAGAAAAGGCAGGTAAAAGGACTGCATGTCAATACAGCAGTTGGCAGATATTTTGGCATTCGTGTTAATGTACACTGTAAACAGATCCACGTGCACAGTCCAGCTAATAGGGGCCGGCGTAGTGGAAGCTTCTCAGTCATTACTACCCACCCTGAGGGGATGAAGGGCTGGGTCTGGAGCTTTGAGACCATGGTCTTAGGAAACAGGAAGGGCAACTGGCCCAACAATCCCTGAGGACAATGTTCTATCCCACTAAAGCCTTTGGGGTCTTAAGAGCTGAAGTGCAACTGCTGGCCTCTCCCTGCCAGGAGCGAAGGAAAGAGAAGAAAAACAAGGAAGTACAGAAACAGCCCAAAGGGCCAACAGACAGCGTGGACCTCGTCTTCTATGACACAGAGACCAGCACGAGACAGCGTCCAGCTACCAACACAGGCCCTTGTAAAGAGAGCCGCAGGATGAGACCCTGCCCAGTGTGGGGGACACGGAACGAAAACTCCCAACACATAAAAAGGCCAGGTTGGTGTGAAGACTGTAGGAACACCGTCATCCCTCGTCACTTCGGAATCCAAACAGAAACTCCGGCTGTGGTTCACAATTCAGTCCAGCAGCCGATGGCCGATAACGTGACCAGTAACACCGGGCAGCACTCACTCCAAGGACACACGCTCCAAAGAGCAGCGTGTGCCCACGGACATTCCCAGAGAGCAGGAAGAAGTGTCAGAGAAGGACTGACAGAAGTGAAATGTATAAGGAGAAGGTGGCAGAGTGCGGCTGCATGTGGGTTTGGAAATCAATGTTACAAAACATGGGATGGTTGGATGAAAGATCAATTTGTTTTATAGGCTTTTACTCAACTCACAATTTTAAAAAATAAAGACATAAAAAACCTGCGAGACCTAGGCTCCATTTCAGGGACTCCAAATCCCATTTTAAATATCTGAACCAGGTTATCAGGGCTGAGGAACTCAATGCTTGCACTAAGAAAGAGCCAATTAAAAGGGGCAAGTGTCTCTCATGTGAACAAGATATGGTCCCCATGCAGGAAATGGCTGTCTGTGCAGAGTCCTGCAAAGGGGTCTGGCCTTGCTTCCCGGGTTCGATTCTTCCCGTTTCATACCCTGTAGAGTCCAAGTGCAGGAGAGAAACACCCAGAACGCACCTGGATCACGTTGCCGTACTGGATGACAGTCCCCAGCAGCTTCCTGTTTTCCGTCTCATTCTGCTTCTTCTCCAAGTCTGCCGCATGCTGGACGGGGAGTGGAAGAGGCACAGAACAAACCTCACCAGTCAGCGATAATAAGTACAAGAACCACAGGAAGAGTTCACACTCCGACATACCCCGAGGTTCAGAAACCCAGGCCCCTCGGCGTTAGCTGTGGGGTCCTCTTCAGTTCTCCTTCATGGCCAACTCAACGGGTGAGGTGACGTCAAAAGCTTATGTGAGGGAACCTGCATGGCCCGTCATCATTTGTCAAAAACTATTTATGGCTTTAGAGTAAAAACCAATACTGACCTGAACTCTGGGTTTTTTTTCACATCGGGGTTTTAAGTCTTTTAAAGTGTTATTTCACATCCATGAGTCTCCATTTTTGCTTCTGTAAAATGAGAGTAAACCTCCCCCAAATCACTCAGCACAGCCAGGCGGACCCTGGAGTCCTGAGAAGGGTCAACTGGTAGTGTTAAATGTTAGCTTATTTCTTCTTCAAAGTCTTTCCTTAAGGGAAGTATCTATCTTCATTTTAAAGAAGAAACGGATTCAGAAAGATTAAAACTTAGTTGGATGATGGCACACCGTTACACTATTTCTTCTACTTCTGTGTGCTCCTGAACTTTTCCTCAATAATCTATCTTCTAAAAGTCACAGAGGAATTAGGTCACAGACACACTCCGCAAACCCACATCTGGGAGTGGAAAGAAGGTCCGGGACTGCTCTGCCAGTGACATCATCGTACATTTATTCTTTCTTCAGTACACTATGAAAGTCCTGTTAACGTACAATAACAATACCAAAAGAGAACCACTTTCATCCTAGGCAATAAGCAAAGTACTGTCCCAATCTGTCAAAAAACAAAAAGCAAAACAAGAAATTTGTTATCTAATCTGGTGGATGCACCGGGCTATACGAGGAGGAATGTGGCATCAGGACTGGTGGAAGAATCATCAACAACCTGCGTTATGCAGATGACACAACCCTGCTTGTTGAAACTGAGGAGGACCTGAAGCGCTTGCTGCAGAAGATCAAGGACTACAGCCTCCTATATGGATTGAAGCTCAACATCAAGAAAACAAAGATTCTCACCACTGGGCCAATTGGCAGCATCAGTATGGATTATGAAGAGATTGAGATAGTTAACAGTTTTAGCTTACTTGGCTCCACAGTCAACACTCTTGGTAACAGCAGCCAGGAAATCAAGAGACGAATTGCATTCGGAAAGTCAGCTGTGAGGAACCTCTCAAGAGCACTGAAGAGCAACGACGTCAGGCTGGAGACTAAGGTGTGCCTGATCCAGGATACAGTATTCGCAATTACGTGCTATGTGTCAGAGTTGGACAGTGAATAGGGATGATAGAAAGAGAATTGATGCCTTTGAGCTGTGGTGCTGGAGAAGAGTGTTGAATATACCATGGACTGCTAGGAGAACAAACAGGTTTGTCCTGGAGAAGGTGAAGCCGGAATGCTCCTTGGAGTCAAGGATTCTGAAACTTAGTGTGACATACTTTGGGCATGTTGCGAGGAGGGACCAGTCCTTGGGGGGGGACATCATGTTTGACAGTGAAGGAGAAGAAGACCTTTGGTGAGATGGATCGATTCTGTGAGTGGAGTGATGGGAATGAGTGCGTTTGAGATGGCTGGGTTGGCACAGAATAGAACAGCGTTTAGAGCTCTTGTACATAGGGTCACTTTGAGTCGCAAGCGACTTGACGGCACATCACAACAACAATCTGGCGGATGGTTAAGAATGTGATTGATCAGCTGTATCCTTCACAGTTTGCAGCGTTCTCTTCCTGGAGGGCCCTTCCCAACGCCTTTCAATATGTGCAGAGCCTGTTCTTACGGCAAGATGCTGTGAGATGGCAATGGGTGATGGGTCTTCCTCCTCAGATGACGGGTCTGTATTTTCACAGTGAAGAGCCCTCATGGTTTTGCTCCACAACACATTGCCTTTATGAGGCAACCTTAAACCATAGAGAAACCAAATTACAGAAGGGGGAAGGACCTGCCTGCTCAGGGATCAGCTCTTGAATCCCCTTCAGAGACCTCCCTCCTCTCTATTTTCAGTCATGGTGAAGAATAAAATCACAGAGACAGAAGCAGGTCAGGAAACACCGGTGTAGGTAACATCCTCACCATAAAACAAAACTCAAATGTGTTCTCATTGTGCTGATGCCAATTCATGGTGACCCCACACAGAAGTGTCCTCCAGAGGGGCTGCCATGGGCAATCCTTTTTTAAGTAGCTCACCAGGCCCTTCTAGGCAGACATACCATAGACCACCAAGAAAACAAATCGGTCTGTCTTGGAGAGGGCGAAACCAAGTCTCTCCTTGGAGGCTAGGAATTTGAAGCTCTGCCTCTCTTACTTGGGGCATGTGGCCAGGAGACATTGGTCCTTGGAGAAGGACATCATGCTCAAAAGTGTGGACGGACAGTGCAGGAGAGGGAGATCGCAGATGAAATGAATTGATAGAGTAAATGGGAAAATAGAGGTCGGTCTGTCAGAATTAGTGAGACTGGCTCAGGACACGGCAGGGTTCAGAGCTGCTGTCCATGGGGTCGCTATGCATCACAGGCAATTCGATGGTACATAACAATTACATACTATGACAGGTGTGGAACCAGGAGTGGCATCCACTTCCTAAATAACATGCCTCCAAAACTCTATGAACTTTGATAAATGTCAATAGTTGTAGAGAGGCTTCAGGCCTTTTGCTGACAGGGCCGATATGAGTTGTACTCAATTCGAAGGCAATCAATGACAACAACAACAAGGTGAATATTGTCCTGATCTTGATGTTATGTGCCGTCAAGTCCCTTGTGACTCATAGTGACCCTGTATACAACAGCCCTAACCTTTGCTCTATCCTGAGCCAACCTTATTGTCTCTGACACACCCACCC